CCAAATCCAGCGCGCATGGGACAGCTGGCTGACTCTGTGGGTGTGATCGCCCTCTTTTTTTCACGCAGGTGGCCATTAAGATCTCCGGGTGCCAGCGACTAGTTTTTGCACGCTAGGTTGTTTTGTCTTTATCGAAACATTGTACGGGGCATAGCCAAAGCTCTGCTTGTTGTGAGGGTTGTTACAAGGGATGGAATAAGACATGGTCTGCATCCACTGCATCCCACGCAACGTTTGAATAAACACCCGGTATGCAGAGAAGAAAGATATTTAAGGTATTATATAACCGACATTTTTGCAATGTGGGGTATATCTGGAGAGGTATGCTGCTGAGAAAAGGTACTTCTTATATGTATTCGTTGGCTTGAAATTAGTTTCCGCATGCATAATACACTATGGATTCGTTTCTGGACTGTAGCTGTTTGTGTGAATATCATTCCGGCACGAGATGTGTTGCCTCTGACATTGTCAGCACTGTAGGGAATGTCACTGGAATGGTGCCCATGTTTTCTCATCCACATGTTTATTCAGGAGATCTCCATTGTGTTGTATTTGCCTTTAATGTTATGGTGGAGAACTTGGATAGCTGCAGGGAAATCTGTGCACGATATCTCACCACCACTGTGGTATATACTGTGGTCATGGATAATGTGAAGAGATTAAAAATGTGTCTGCAAAGAAGCAGATGGAACAGAAGGCTTAATATCCGGTCTGAAGATGTGGAGCTTATCAATAATAACCCTGCAACAGATGAAACTGAGGGCATGAGATGGTGGATTGAATCGGTGGTTCATGATTTTTGAGAAAAGAAATGTACCGGTCCAAAACAAACCTCACCTTACTTGCCAAAGTGGCAGAACTTGTGTTCTAAAAATACAGGTTCTCTATAAATGTTACATTACGTAGAAGTAATGCTAGAACTATAACATCATGGGCTGCGGCTCTTGTATAAAAGCAATTTAAGGGTTCTGTTGTTCACCTAGGGCGAGAGTGAGTCTGTCATGGCCATTACTGCCTGTCATGGCCATTACTGCCGTTAACTAAAGCGTAGTCGAATCCTTGGAGGGGCAATCTCACCCTGCTAATTGCTCGTGTTAGGAATGTTATGGCATTTATCGTTCAAAATTACCATTTCCAAAGGTATCATTAAAACAAGATTGTGTTTTTTAAAGGTTAAAGGCCTCATCAACAGCCATTTTAAATTCGCTGCTGGATGATGTCCTCACCACATCGTCACCATCCCTTATGATGCTATAATCCTTATCATTCATTGTCGCATCTCCTTAGTGGTCTTCCTCTATGATGCATTCCCTCCTTCAAGTACCACTATATCAGTCTGATTAATCAAATAATTTTCTCTTCTAGCAGTACTCTGAAAAATACTACTGGTCTTAAGTGTCAATATCATCTCTAATTTGCGTTCATTTTCTGATTCACGTGTTCCTTTTTCTGTTTATCAGTGTAATTCCCAGCATGCATCTCTTCATGATTGTATATTTTTTTGGATATCGATCCAAAATGTCAGTGTCTTCATTTCCATTGCGTAGGTTATATCAGACAAGATGCACGGGAATAGGTTTTCCCATTTTTTCTGGCAACAAAACAGGTGTTAAGATATATTCTTAGTTTTTTCGGTAAAGTCACGTTGAAGAGAAACAACAAAATAACAAAATATATATAAAAAATAAAAAATTCTCACGACGTTTCGACCATAACTCAAAGTTATGGTCTCTTCAACGTGACTTTACCGAAAAAACTAAGAATATGAATTACTGCAGTCACGAAAGCTTTAAATCAAAATTTAGGTGTTAAGATGTTAAAACACCAAACTGAAACCTTTTACAAGGAATCATGTCTGCACTAACCACAATACTTGTGGTCAGAATGCAAACAAAAACATACTCTGATAATATATGCATTGTCTTTGAAACTGATTGGTCCACACCAGAGACAATGCATATATTATAAGAGTACGTTTTTTTTGCATTCTGACCACAAGTATTGTGGTAAATGCAGACATGATTCCTTGTAAAAGGTTTCAGTTTGGCGTTTTAACATCTTAACACCTGTTTTTGTTGCCAGAAAAAAGGGGAAAACATTCTCATATTTTGGTACTGGCAAAGGAGGTCGCATGATGTAAATATGCACGGGTTGAACACTTTCTTCTTTTGGCACGTTGGTATGTTTCTGATAATGGCAAGGCAATTCGTGTTAGGCTTACTATTTTATATTGAGATTTTGTTGAAAATACAGTTGGTTATTTTGGTCCAATAATATTCTTAACCCAGTCTTATTTAAAGAGTCTCCCTGCTCCAGAGTGTTTGAGGAAACAATGGTCATGTTTATTGCTGGCCCTAAACCAAGAGTGGAAAGTCCACATTAGGGGTCATCCATTTAGTATGTTCGCATGGAGGGGGGGGGGGTCTACTGATAATGTATGTACAGGTAGGAAACGGGGGGGGGGTGAAACCTCTATAATAATTTGTCTACATTGTCCTTCAAATGAGTTAGATAGTCTGGGGGTGGACTATCTGTTTGCTTAATATTATTCATCCTTGATCGTTTCTGCGTGGATTAAATATCGGCCGTTCTGGTAAAAAGTACGCGTGCATACAGGGAGGGGGGGGGGGTCAAGTTTTGACAGAGTTTTGCGTACCTACTAAATGAATGGCCCCTTACCGTGGCAGGAGCCAGTCTTTCACTACTACAATCACTGTAAGTCATCATTTCCGTGTTCATCCTCTGCCATTGGTGTCTCATTGTGATTAGTAGTCATACATATAGCCAACATCACAATGGGACCAAAACACAGAGCTTTGTTTTAAGAGAAAAAAAGTGGAGCGTCTGAAACCTAATGCCTCGCAAATGAATTGCCTGATAATAGTTTCTGTTTGTATATTTTAAGAAAAAGATGTGTATTTATAAACGTGACACGCGTTTTCCCTGCATAATGAGCGCCAACATGTGAAAACACGAGGCTTTATTCGCACTGCGGTTGAAGCGTTTAGAACAACTCAATTAAAATTTCATGCATTTTCCTCCACAACCCCCAGGGCTCTATTTAATGCGGTGGGCTAGTGGCGGTGAGACTTGCATTTTGATCTGTTTTTAGCATTGCTTGACCTTGAGATATGTGGGTGATATTTTTGGTTGTTGTTAAAATTCCTCATGGACCTCAAGTTGGAGCTGCCTCGGCACAACTGAATTGGAGTAAGGCTTGGTTATGGAGTTTATAACAGCACTTTTGTTCATCTTTATTATATATCACTGGTGTCATTATAAGGTGATTTCCTGTGCTAATGAGCATAGAGGTTTACAGCCCTTTACAGCCCTGAGCGGGTGGTATCAATTCCAAATTCTTAACGGCAGGGGTTAGTCTTACCATAAGATAACCACTGTTGAGTTACCCACAAAGTGGTAGTAATTTTATCGACTGTGGAGATATGATGAGCTTAGTAACACTCCAGGGCACAGGATTTGAACTTGCCGTCTTCCAACTGTGAGCCTGCCATCACTGATAACATTTATCACTTTTTTTCAAGTCATCTTCGATGTTTTGAAACATTGAGAGCTTGTATCGGCCCGAGAGAAGCAAGGCAGAGATAACGTTGATAGCCGCATTCTGCATTGGAGAGCAATTTGCTTTGAGGCTAATATCGTGATGTTACCAGCACACCAAAGTGGTCTGTTTCAAATAACAATGTCACATTTTACTTTGAAGTCGATCCACAAATACACGTGCAAATGTGCACATTCAAACCCTTCCTTGAAATCTGCACGTAGCCCTTTTGTCGTTGAATTTAAGTGATAGTTAATCTGGTTAAAAGGGTTAATCTTCATGATAGAGGTTTTTTTGGGTTAGATCGCGTAAATATATCAATGTGTCGATAAACCCACAACCACCCGACACAGCCAACTAGTAAGGGTTGTCACGTAAACAGAACATGTCAATTCGTCACTAGTACAGCACACCGGTGTGTTGGAGAGCCAAGCCACAACATTTACAATCTGAGTACGACGTTTCGCCAGTAATTACAACTAGCTTATATTCTTAATTTAAACACCAATGGTAATTATTGTTTGACGTGAACTATAGTATGTGATTGTTCGTTAATTGCCTCATTAATTTGTTTCTTTATTACTGCAATTTTCTTATCTATGGATCTCCAAGCATCTCGTGAATCGTGGCGTTAGGCTCCAAACTTTGCAATCACCTTTGCATAAATTACAAAGTGTCTCTATTCTAGTTCAAATTATTCATGGCCTCCCCATTCACCACTCAAATCTCAATTATCCATATGCTGCCTCCCTTTCCTTCAGTAATAACTGCCTTCTCTATCAACTTCCCATCAACAGCCACATTATAGGGGATCATTGTTCCTCATCTGCTTTTTGTACAGCCTGCAAAGGTTTTTTCTCTCTCTACTGTCCATATTTCTGGCTGTCTCCCACCAATACATATAATCAATTTGTTAAACCTCTTTCTCCTGGCACATATTTCTCATGCAGCGTACATTGACGTGATGTCTTTCAAATCTACGGATTCATCCAATTTCCCTCTTTATTCATTACAGAGATGCTGCCATGGTGTAATGGTTAGCACGGGAGTTGAAATAATGGTGTAAGTTTCTTGAGTTCCGCCCCCTAACCCCCCCCCCCCCCATATCTGACAAGCAGTAAAAGTGGGTACACCATCATCGATGGGCAGGTTGCGTGTGGAGGTTTAAAGTTTGGGTGCTCTCACGCCTTATAAAATGTCTGGCAAGCGTGGAAGAGTCGGGTAAGATACCCTGTCGAGGGGCTCTCGAGAGCTCCCCCTAGTGGAGGCTCCTCCTGCCAGCGGTGGTGCGAACTAGCAATTTCAGGAGCGCACTTTTAGTTTGCGTTGCATGTGACTGAATGTAGAGGTGCCATAGTACACTTCACAAGTGCACGGCACTTAATTCGCGTCACAATAGTTTGTCTCTGCGAATGTGCCGTGTCTCCTGTCGCTCACACAGGCCCACCTGGTGGCTGCGTTTGAGCAGAGCCTGGCCAACATGACCAGTCGCCTGCAGAGCCTCACCATGACCGCCGAGCAGAAGGTGGGTGAAGCCAGGGCTCGCTCGCTCGCTCGCTGTCTGTCTGTCTCAGTTTGACTCATTAAAGAAATAGTCCTCATTTGACTCATTAATAAATCACGGCTGAAGGCTGCAATGGGTATCTCTCCCAGGGGGAGATTGCAATGAGAACCCGCACTTGTCCAATTACTCACCAGGTCCCCGACGGCCGTGCCGCTGCACAGTCTGTCCTCATGATTTTTAATGAGCACACACTGCAAGGTAGCGTGGCCGTGCACATGGCTTATACCTAAGGCTACGATTTTGGCACAATAATGATGTTTTCATAAATTTCCCGGCTGGGGTGCGGGGCAATAATAATAATAATAACTCGCGCTATTAGGTGAGGAAACCCCCACCACTCGCCGTGCATGGCAATTTCAACGAAAATAAAGAAAGACAATGTTTCTACTTTTCATAAACATTCAAGTTCACGACTTCCATAACTGTGCCATCTGTTACAAAATTGTAGCCTTACACATCTGTTGCTGCTGATTATTCATTTTATTTTGCGAGTACCGCCCAGTATTTACATACTACATGGTCACTCAGACCATCTATTTTTACTTTTTTTGCCATTTTAATCCGGTGTCTTTTATTTATTTTAGATGTAAAACACAGCTTTGTGGTTTTTGGGCCTCTTCCTGTGAAGCAGGACTCGGAGTTGAATGAACTGAGAAAGACCATCGAGATGCTGAAGAGGCAGAATGTGGCGGCACAGGCTGCGATCAGCGGAGTCATCAACACTCCCGAGCTCTCCCGAAAAGGTGTGATGACTTGTTTGCTCTCCGAAAATCGTCGCAAAAGCTTACCGCCACACGTCCATAATGTCTTTACGGTCCAGCAGCATGAAATGACAAACACTCTGATGTCAGATTTAAACTGCGGTGGAGCGGCGGCACAGTGGTTAGTCCAATGCGCTATGAATTTCTGATTTAGTGTCGATGTTAATACACCGCACCAGGTACTCATTTGAGGCTGAGTCGACCCTAGTGGAGGCCCAGGACCGTTTCAGATAATCATCCCCGGTAGTTGTGGGCCGTGAGTGGGAATCGAACTCGGGCCGGCGGGTCCGTAGCGCGAACCGCTGCGACACCGTCCACGACACCGCTCCCCCCTGTACCCTCGATCCCTCAGCGGGTCGGGTACGTCACGTGGCCCTGTGTTTGTCTCAGCAGGGAGTGCGAGCTCTTCGCAGTCGACGGAGCTGCGCATCCGGCGGCAGCACTCGTCGGACAGCGTGTCGAGCATCAACAGCGCCACGAGCCACTCGAGCATCGGAAGCTCGGCCGAAACTCCCGACTCCAAAAAGAAGAAAAAGAAGAACTGGGTAAGTTCCCCGCTGGAGGGCACACCGTGAATATTTTAGTCTGACCGCATTTCATGTTCACCTTCTTTCTGCTCGTTCCCTTCTCGTTTTTTCCCGCGAGGTTTTTGTTGTTGTTGAGTATTTAGTTTCACGATTTTTGTTTCTTTCCCTCCATAAATCTGTGCTGCTAAAGTCACGTTGCCGAAAGTTAGGTCTGTACACAGTTTCATTTGCTGCGATGCCACAGTATAGGAGACTTTTTCATATTGGAAATTAAGTTAAATGTCTTCACGAAAGTTGTTGTTCTTTAGTACACATTTGTGAAAATATCTGAAAAGAAAAGAATGTTCAGTATTTACCATCGGTTGTTAAATTTTCTAAATACTTTACCTTTATTAGCATGACATATTCCTTTCAGAACAAGCAAGGTTAGGATAATGAAATGCTGGTGAAAGCATAAAATAAAAGCGTGTATTATAATCGTACAGAAAACTGAAGGTATAATGTAATAATTAAACTAAATAAACCTCCTCAAAGTACATCCAAAATCCAAACTCAGAAATACATTATACCAGGGACCCTCAATCCCCGGGCCGCCGACCGGTACCGGTCCGCGGCCTGTTAGGAACCGGGCCGCACAGCAGGAGATGAGAGCGGTGAGTCCGTGCGTGGCCTGCCCATTATTTGATTTTCCACTTCCATCCTCGCCTCTTTCCCGCACTGCGCACTCATCTCAGTCACAGTTTTGGTAAGCCCACAAGGGAACCCCTAGTAGCCAACATGAGTAAAAAAACAAACGTCGCTGGAGAGCTTCTTTGAAAAGGGGGAAAGACCCAATGATGACCCCCCGCCCCCCCCCGTCCGTCCGTCCTTGCAGTTAAACTTGTACTGCTGCATTACTGTATTGCAATATCAATCAATCAGCCTGTGTGCATAGTGGCTGACATAGATACTGCGTAAAGGAAACCTGTCAAACTGGGTGTATAGCATTGGGCTTTAAGATCATAGAGGTTGCAGTGCACTTCAAAGTTCATGACGCAGCTTTTTAATTTAAGCACCTTTAAGCTGCTTTTATGAGCCATTGTAGCTCCTTCATTATTTGTCGCATGTTGTGGAGTCTTCTTTTTATTTCGCCCCCCCCCCCCCCCCCACCAACTCGTTGAGGTATCAGTACGAAATAAATCCACCATCGTTTTCCATGTTCCCTGCTGCTCTAAGCTGACTTCACACTTTTCTCTGTCTCCTCACTCACTCTTAACCTCCAAGGTGAACACAAAAGGCGGAAAGGTGAATATTGTGTCGCTGCGTGCCGCGCTTGTGTTTCTCTCCCATAAGCCGGCCGAGCATGCCTTATGCGAAAGGAAGGAAAAAAGATAATATATGCCACTGGCTGCTGTGTTTTTACGCCATTCTGTGTGGTCAGCTCTGTGTGCGTGCGTGTGGCCTAGCTTGTTTGTGTACCCTTTCATTTATTTTTTTACTTCAGCAGCGCAGCTTGGCAGCAACCGTGAAGATGGCAGGCTGCTCTTTGCAGAATGTTGCATTTTTTGCTCATATGTATGCAAGGGATTTAACCGACATCTGTGTCCCTCCATTTGTTCCAATTAGCACATTCAGAGTACGATGGAATGTGAAAACAAAGCCTGAATAGCTAAATTTTCTCATTAAAGGATGGATGCCGTGGGTAGGCCTTGTGAACTAGCTTCCTGTAGGCCATAGTTGACTAATGTTATGTACTATTTCAGCCAATAAGGGCTTATTAGATTGATGTTAAGTCCCAGAATGGGATATCAATACTTTGTGTTTTTTCATCCGTATGACGTAAATAACATAGGGGCAGCGGTCGCGCAGTAGTTAACACACTGCACTATGAACCCGGTTTTACCGAGTTTGAATTGGCTACCATGAGTGGTAAGTAATATGTAATCCAGTCCTGGGCCACCCATTCATCAACTCACAATGACCAGCATGCTAATAGTATGATCAAATACGCACCGCGGCCAACGCAGCATAGGATGGCCTTCACTGTGAAGTAATGGTTTGACAAATGACTGTACATATTTTTTAATGTATCGTTATTATTTTTCAACATGCAATTAGACAGCATGCCTTAATTGTCCAATCCTCGGTATCATTGCACAGGTTTGTGAATCGTGCAAGGTTAATTACATTGTATTTACATTCAAGTATAATGTACCAACCTCTGAACATCATTCAAAGCTCTATGGTGTTGTCGGTTTATCCCTAGATTAACAACTATTTGTGCTGCTTGCTCCTATTTTTTCTTTCTTATTTTTGATGGAGTGTTGCATTGCTCGTCCTGACTCGAAGCAATAGCAGGATATAGCTGTCACAGCAGAGAGCTCTGGCTTTTGTTTAAACGGGGTGTTGCCACCTTTTTGAGAAACCCGGTTCATACTTCCACACCACGCGCAAAATAAAATAATACCCGCAGGAACCAATTTTTTAAATGATAATTCCTCTTTGAATAATGTGTTTTAATGTTCAGAACTTCCCTTAAAATCGGTCTCCTTTGTCACATTGTTATATGCTGGTAAAATGTAACAATCAACATCTAGTCACTCTCATTGTTCTCTGCCTGTTTCTTCTGTACCTTGTTATAAGTGGTAAAAACGGCTGTGACTTCAATATAGCTCTTAATGGAGGTATCTGTGTGTGAATGCTGAGCTCTCTGGCTTTGATGCGGCTGTTCTTTCATGCTGGGATTTTTGTTCTGCTTTTTTCCCATCTGCTGGCATTACTGTATGCTAGGTATCAGAGGTAAGCATTTTTTGTCTAAGCCATGCATTAACACATGTGTGCTCCAGTTAGACAATTGGCGAATGCAAGTCACAAGGCAGGATTTGGCTAACATTGTAGTATCATTTTGCCTTGGTGCCATTCTCCCAACAATAGGACATTGTGAAAGGAAGTGTCCGATGCAGTCAGCTAGATTGGATATAGGTGTTCTTTGTGACGTAAGTCATCGGAATTAATTTGGTCTCATTTAGGGTGCAGTTCTTTTCTATCCTCAATTTGGAACATGTTGTTAATTCTGGAGCCCATGATGCATACAATAAAACAAATTTGAAAAAAGTATATTGATACATCCAGTTATTATTTTCTGATACCATATATTTTTTTAAGCCATAGTCAAACAGATATATTAATTTGTCATTGCGGATTATTTTAATGCATTTATTTGTTCCTGTGTAGTGTTATTCGTAATTGCTTATGCCTAAAAAGTATAGGAAATGGCTATTATTCCCCACAAACTTTGCTTTTGTGACCAGGACAGTGGTATTTTTAATTTACCTATTTTCAATGAGAAAACAGGCGAATTTCTGTATTTTCGTTCACATAAAGTCAGAAAAAACAACATGAATCAAAATTAACATGTATTTATACTAAAGCAATGTAAAAATTACTACAAAAGAATTAGAAGTGAGTAGTTTTTCGAGATTTACGATTATACTGTAAATCATTTTCATGAATCAGCCCACAAATGTAGTCTCCCATCATGTTCTCAACCAGCTCCACATAGTTTTCGACCTTGTGATTGCCCAGGAAGCCATGAACCACTGCGACAAAGCTGTTCCAAGCCGCTTTCTCCTTACTAGTGACCTTCTTGGGGAATTCATTGCACTCCAGGAACTTCTTTATCTGTGGTCCGATGAAGACACCAGCTTTGACCTTTGCCTCAGACAGCTTAGGGAAGAAGTCTTGAAGGTACTTGAAGGCGGCCGACTCCTTATCTACAGCTCTGACAAATAGTTTCATAAGGCCCAATTTGATGTGCAGTGGTGGCATCAGCACCTTCCGGGGGTCCACCAGTGGCTCTCATTTGACGTTATTCCTCCCCACAGAGAATTCGGTCCGCTGTGGCCAGTCCCGCCTGTGGTAGTGCGCCTTGGTGTCTAAATCTTTTGTAGTAATATTTTATTAATTTAGTATAAATACATGTACATTTGTATTAATATGTTGGTTTTTTCTGACTTTATGTGAACGAAAAATTGGCCAGTTTTCTCATTGAAAATAGGTAAATTTCTAAATATCACTGTCCTGGTCACAATTTTTTTTTTATGTCGAATAATAGCCATTTTCTGTACATTTGAGGCATAAGCAATTAGGAAATAACATTTACTACCCAGGAACAAAAAAATTGCTACACAGTGTTATAAACATTGAGACCTCACATCTTTTTTGTTGTTGCAAGCACGGCCATGAGAGAGAGAGAGAACGCACGTTTATTAGCACACGACTGACTAAACGGTACTTGTATGTGGCGTGTCTGTGCTTGCTCAGCTTCGCAGCTCCTTCAAACAGGCGTTTGGAAAGAAGAAGTCGCCCAAGTCGGCATCGTCTCACTCCGACATCGAGGAGATGACAACTCCGGACTCTTCCCTCCCATCGTCGCCCAAGCTACCCCATGGAGCAGTCACCGCTGTCACGCCTGCGATCAAGCCCTCTCACTCTGCGTCTGCGTACGTTCACTCCCACTCCCCGCCAGCCGCATTCCTTTGCCGGAGACCTGCCATGTGATCTTGGTTTAGCGAATCTAAACATATACAAACGCAGAGACAATTTCAACCGAGAAGATGGATTCTGGCTTAGCAATCATTGGAAGGATTTGATAAACCATTTTGGGTCTTAATTGATTGCTCACGCTTACGGTGGCTTTCAGAGAGCATACATTAAATTTTCGTCACCCCCCCCTCCTCTTTTCCGAACATAGATGGACTCGTCCTTCTGAACAAACTGTCAAATCGCTATCCATGGCGCTAACGTTTAAAAATAAAAAATAAATGCAAGCACCGTTTATAAATAAATAAATACAAACCGCCACTTCTTTCAAATGTTTCTTGCCGTTGGTTTTCACACCTGATGATGACTGTTTGTGTTACAGTCGAAACGTCGTGAGAATTTTATTATTTTATATATATTTTTTATTTTATTGTTTCCCTTCAACGTGACTTTACTGAAAGAACCAAGAATATGAATCACTGCAGTCACGAAAGCTTTAAATCAAGAAAATGTGTATGTGAAGTTTAACTTTGCAGACTGTGGTGTGTAATGTGTAAGTTGTCGTGTTTCCAAGACGACTACATTTTAATGGAATTTATTGAGAGGTGGCCAAAGTTTGAATCATTGCTGCACTCGTTATGCTGAACTGTATATTTTTTACTGCTGCGGATAACATCTGTAGTGATTTGTGTGTATTGGCTGTGGCATGGCAAGGTTGTCAAAGCTTGTTTTTTTCAGTGGTTTGGATAGTACGGTAATTGTAGTTGTCCATTTGACAACTAAATTGTAAAAAAATCAGGTAAATGTACAGCCCTGCAATTTCTTGCTCATGCCAACGCTGGCAGAAATGCTTCCACTAAAGGGAACGCTAGAAACGGTATATTTGGCCTCCTGTTCAACACTGCCAATATTCATACATTACCTCACTAGTGCACCATGGCAACATTCCAAAAAATATATCTCAAAGCATCTGGTGTTTCCCCCTAATATTCCTTGAAAGCAGCTTCCATTGCTGCTACTGGAGGCAAAGCTAACGGTGCTGCTTTGCGCATCTTTCGCTGGCTTTGGGTCGTGTGCAGGATCTGCGAGTGCACGGAGACGGAGGCGGAGAAGGTGATGCAGCTGCGGAGCGAGCTTCGAGAGAAGGAGATGAAGCTGACGGACATCCGGCTGGAGGCGCTGAGCTCCGCGCACCAGCTGGACCAGCTGCGCGAGTCTATGAACCGCATGCAGGTGCGACCCCCACCGCCCCCCCCCCCCACCGCCGCCCCCCCCCCTTCCCTGCCAGGCCTCGTGGCGGCTCAGCAGGGGAATGGAAAAACCACCACCCGTGAAAACACAACACATTTGGAAGAAAAAGGAAAGAGAACGTTTTAAAAGGGGATACAAAAAAATGTTCACCATTACCGCCTTTTTAATGTGTATTCTGCAAGGGTGGATTTCTTTTTTGTGATATACAGAGCTCATTGTTCAAGGAAGTTGGTGTTTGCATTGCATTTCATTTGCTCTCTAAGTGCATATTTTTCCACCCCTGTCACTCGGAAAGTCCTGCCCCACCCAACGTTATGAACATTTTTATGCCATTACCTTGTGCCACACCTTTTAGCCTAGCATACAATACACCATTCTACTTTACTCTTATTTATGGGGGAGGGGTGTGTAAAAAAATAGGCTGACGTTAATGCACGTATCATTCTTATATTATGTGACATTTATAATCTGTTTTACATTCACATAACTACGTAACTTTGGATTCACAATGTTTACAATCCCGTTTTGGAAGCTAGTATTTAAATAGTGAGTTGTTTATTTCGCTTTGCCAAATATAAGGAAAATGTTGTGCACAGCCACACGGCAGTGTGGATTTTTTTTATATTCACAAGCAAGCACAGAGGACACTTGAATTACTCCCCAGCCATTGTTGGGAGACTTATTCGTTTCAAACTGGATTAGTGCAAACTAAAAGGCAAGCGAACCCCTTACATCTGAACTTGTCAGTCACCTGCCAAAAGGTGTAGTTCTTTTTGAATATCAACTCAAATGTATTTATATGCACAAGTAAAGGGGTATGTTGAGTGAATGTCTTATGCCATCTATCTGTTGTTAGCGATTTCGTTCGTTTCTCAATCCGCTTGTCCTCGTGAGGGTCGCGGCGGCAGCATGTTGAGATGGGCGGTCGAGACCTCCCTTTCCCTCGCGACAGACTCTCACTCTTCCTGGGGAATTCCCAGGCGTTCCAAGGCCAGTTGAGCGACACAGTCCCGACAGCGTGTCCTGGGCCGGCCCCGGGGTCTTCGCCCAGTGTTGTGTTAACGAGTAATAAACACAATCTGTGGCATTGCACGGTTTTTGGCTATTCCTGCCAAGTTTCCTTCTTCAAGTATTGTGACAATGACAAAAAAACAAAGTACATTTAAAAAAAATGTTTGGTTTTCTACCAATTTCATCACCCATGTCTATCCCCCTTGGGTTTTGTGATCATTATTAAATCATTCAGGTCACAATTTAATCATTAATACTTAATGAAGCACCATGTGCCAAATAGCACCAACGTTAATATTTTATTAGCATTTTGATTGCACTAAGAATTTGGTTTGTGTATAGAATGGTTTTGAAAAAATAGAGATGTATATGTCATTAATAATTGAGTCAGTTTTCTGAAGGTTACTTTTTAATTATAAAAAAATATATTGATGAATAGGATGGATCTTGGATGGTATTAACCAAATATGAACAGCCGCTGTCTTGTGGGTCACTTACATGATATATATATAAAAACGACATTTGAACTACACATTTTTCACTATAGCATTATAAATCTTTAGCACTGATTTAAAGTAATGTAATTTCAAATTATAAACAACTCGGTCACATTTGTGGTTACCAATAAACATTGTACACATTGATTGTACATAATACAGGTTTCCTGGGTTAGATCGCGCAAATATAAATGTGTCGTTAAACCCGCCACCACTCGACACAGCCAATTGGTAAGGTTTGTCACGTAAACAGAACGTGCCAATTTATTACTCGGACAGCGCACCGGTGTGTTGGAGAGCAAATCCACAATATTTACAATCCGAGTACGACGTTTCGCCAATAATCATAACTAGCATCATCAAGCGGACAGCCAGATTTGTGGAGAAATCCTCTTGGTCCGTTCCTTAAATAGAGGGATAGATGCGATGACATCACTTGTGAGCCCTTCACGTAAAAGGGGTGGGGGGGTTAATGAATTAATATAAATGACAATGGGTAGCCATTACCGGTTGGGTTATTCACATAGTAATACACGTGCATTATGCATGCACATAGTAATAAACGTGCATTATGCGTGCAGATTGTTCTTGTTCCTCCTGTCGTTAGTGTGCACTAAAATAGCAGTACCTCTTATTGTCTGCACACAAGTAATCCCTATTGATGTATGGCGACCTGTATAGGCATGCATTTAAACAATGTATTAGTTGATGATTCGCTTCCAAGCTGCACTAAGCTTGTAGATATCCGAACAGTTACAATTATTTTTATTTCTCTAAATTTCCATAGATTCTCTAATTAGTCTTGGTCAGTAGTAACTAGTTTTCCACAGAACTTCAACATTATCAAAAATAAATTGAGTGTCCTTGTTGGCACGCGTGTTCTGCCACAGCCGACAGTTGTATTTGGGGGTATGTTATATTCCTTTGGTGTTATTGTAGTTTCATTCTGATCAAAACTAGGCTGCCCAACATAGCATTTCCACAAGAGCAATTATTCCGGTACACACCATCTATTGATAGCTTCGGTAATAGATTTTTAGTACCAGATATTAGTTTCTGTATTTTATGTATCGTGCCAAATGTGACTTGGATGTTTTGTTTTTCCAAATATCTGACTAGTTTTCAGTTACTCCCGCAATGTACGGTATTTTAATAGTTTGAATTACTTGGTCAGTTTCAACATTGATTGTATATGAAACAAATAATGGTGGTGAAAGAGTTTGGTCCAAAATATAAGCTTGATGATTAGTTGTGACATATTTAATTGTGAAAATATTGCCGTGGCATCCTATATATGCCCTCGTATTTTTGGGCCACCTTAATTTGTGTTTATTTGTGGAACGGGACAAGTAATTAAACCCACCTTTTTACATTTACAGTCCAACTATACATTGTTTACCTGATGGTTAACAAGGAATACGTTATGTAGGTGATATATGCATTGTGCGAGTGGTAGTGTAGTGGTTAGCGTGCTTCGCTTTGAACCTGGCGACCCAAATTCTATTCCCGCTCACAGCCAACACCAGTGATTATCTGAACCAGGCCTAGGCCTCCCTTATGGCGACTCTGAATGGGTCCCGGGTGCGGTGTGTAAACATCACCACTCGGGAGACAAAGGCGGCTGGGCGTGCTGCCGGCCATCTAGCCCCTCATGTGCCATGCCGGTCTTCATGGATGTTCGCTAACAGCACTTGCCCGAAAAGTGTGTTAAAGGCTGTATGGGGGATCTTTAGTCTTTGTACATACGTCACTTGTGGTGTGGTCATAACACATACACAAAGCCCTTTTCTCTTGCTGCCCTTTAAAATCCATTAAATCATTTGAAATTGTATATTTAATATTGACATTTACTATGAGTATACATCTTTATTGAAAAATAACACTGTTTCATTTGTAACCTTTTGGTCCCATTATGAACCATTTTACAGCCATGCCATTGGCATTTTAGCAGCAAAGGAAAATGCTCCTGTAAAGTTAAAAACTTAACTTTGACCTTAAAACTATATTAATTGGTTTGCAAAAGTTACGTTTTCTCATGTGATACCACATAATGCATTAGAAAGCAATTTAACTTTAAAGGCATTGAAAATCAGATTAACACAAAGTTATAATAATATTCCCACTGTGTGATTGCATTGGAAAAGATTTGAGAAAAATGTTATTGCCCTATAATCCAGCACAAGATTGTTCTTAAGCAGATTAAAAATTAAATTACAGAGGACAGCATTGAACAATTTGCAAGCATTTTCAGGTCCCTTTTGCTTCAAATGCACTTTTATAATGAAGTGAAGCTGTGTTGCTTGATTTTACTGTATTTAATTCTTATGTAATTGATTATAACATTCGGATCCTTGACGTGGCTTTTATAATTAAAAATGTTTCGGCTTTTCCACCAGTCTTTTCCATAATAATCCTTTTTTTATATAATATTTTTTTTATGTTTAATGTGTAGTAAACATGTATTTTACATACATTTGTGCTCACAGTAGAATGTTCAATGCTACTTTTCAATAAATAATGTTGCATTATAAAACCCATTGTTATTTTTGGCAATGCCACCAGAGATTAATACTCATGAGAACATGTATTGCCATTGACGTGGATTAAAATCTCTCTTTTCTAATTTTTTCACACTGGAAAGTTTTAACAACAGTACCCATTTCCTTATACCTATACAGTAGTTGAATGCACAAACGCATGATAGTGCGGCACTTAAAATTACACACGACTCTCTCCCAGGTAGCTGCCATGGGAAATCTCTCTGGGACATTTAACTCCTGTTTTTTTGTCGATTGCATAATCGTGCTCCACTCAGAACAATGCATTTGCATGCAGTGTTCTCTCCCTCTTGTGGGGTCTCCTAGCGATCGAGAGCTTGGGTCGAGGGAGACCGCTGTCACTTGTCCGTCTTGATGCGCAAACTCCAGCAAATTGCGCACTTCAGTTTGGCAGTTGACTTTCGAAGTGGACTGCGACCCTCAAAGAAAAGGCGCCGCGGTCGCTCCCCCCCCACCCCCTCCCGTGATAAACGGATCGAACAAGTCACCTGAGACGCTGGGATGGCAGCAAGAGCAGTTTACGTGAATGCTATCGCAAGAGGTTGCTACACGTTTTGCGCAACAGTCCTCCGCTGTGTGTCATGAATCCTCCCCTCATTGTGAGATGTTTTTCTTCCCATGATACTTGTCGATATTTTTTCATACCCCAGACGTGGCAACTCTACTCCTTTAGTGTGTCGAAAAAGTTGAATCGCCGTCGACGGTTACGTATCAGTGTGACTTAAAAAAAAAAAACTACATCACGTTGCACAATGCACGGCAGCGGCAATTGTATTGCACTCACCGCGAGCTTTTACTGTGCGGTGAGAGCAGAGCGAGATCGAGAAGCTCAAGGCAGAGAACGATCGCCTCAAGTCGGACGGGGGCGGCAACTGCAGTCGCGCCCAGTCGCAGCTCTCCATGTCCTCCACGTCCTCGCCACGCCAGTCCGTGGGGCTCTCCCAGCATAGCCTCAACCTGCCCGAGTCCACCAGCCTCGGTACTGCTCTCTCTCAGTCCCGATGAGTCGTTTACCCTTCACGGTTGTCGACTTCTCTGTTCAAGTCACGTGCTTATTATATATTTCTGGGTTAGATCGCGTGAATATGAATGCGCCGTTAAACCCGCCGCCACTCGACGCAGCCAATTCGTAAGGTTTGTCACGTAAACAAAAACGATGTCAAATTCGTTACTCGTTGAGCACACCGGTTGTGTGTTGGAGAGTAAACCCACGACATTTACAATTGGAGACGTTTCGCCGGTAATTACAATCAGCCTCATCAGGCGACATTCTAATGAGGCTGGTTGTAATGACCTCTATTGTGGACATATGGTGGTGTGCACTGAGGAGGTGGGGGAAACTAAATCAGCTCGTGTGCAGTTGCTATCGGTGGATTGTTACCCTGCAGGGCTGTGAGAGATGGTGACGGCTGTGGATTGATCATTGCTGATGGTGTTTATATGAATGTGCATTATTTGTATCTATATTATGCTTAATTTGGGCTATAAGGTGAGCAGGATATGGTAGTGTAGCAAGGATTCAATCTCATGTGCAGCTCTTTGAGTGGAATCCATCTCATAATGCAGGGGGTTTCTCTGGGTATGCCACTTGACTCCTGCATGTCAAATAGTCTTTAATGCGATTGGAGCCTTCTGAAAAATACAAATAACACTTCAGTGAAGCTTTAATGGGAAAATTGCGTTTGGAAATTGAACCAAACCAGTGCCATCATCTTACCACCCACCAACTGCGACTCCAACCACCATTACCACACCCCAAACGCTTCAACAACCATCACCAAACTACCCACAAACCAATCATGACCATCGTCTGTCACTGCCATCACTTAACCACAAACACAACACGACTACATCCACTACCGAACCACAACCCAAGACCGACTAACAACCAAACGGGATTATTTTTTATACATATAATAAAAACGATTATACTCGATCCTACGTGAGCGAAATGCTGACATTTTGGCCATTCATCGTCTAATTATGGTTCTGCTGCCCTCTATTGGTCAGATAGTAAATGTAACTTCATGTGTAGGTTCATTTCTAAGGATTTTTATGCAATGTTTACAACATGCCATTAAAATGTGGCTCCCCATGTGGCATATAGTTTTATTCTGGAGTGTATTAATAATTTTGTAACATTTTATCTTTTGTACGTAATTTTGTACATTCCCACCAAGTCTATAAAGTCTTCAAATGAACATGAATGCATACAAAATCCTAGAGGCTTAAATAGATGCGTGAGAAATATATGTTTAATACAATGCACAACAGTTATTTCTTTTTACGATTATTGTTTTATCGATGTGCCACCTTTTCAGATATGCTGCTAGATGATGGCAGCGGCGATGGATCTACACGTAAGGACCGTCGCAATGTCAAAATCGTCGTTTCTCTGACCGACCTGCCCAAGCGTAGAGAGGTACAGACCAATCAACAGCTGTAGTACAACACACACACACACCTGCATTTACACGTGCGGCCATTAAGCACTGTGCATCTACATGTGTATACGGTAGTTTCTCCACATCCTGATTCTATTGCCATCTTTTTGCAATTTTTATGAAAAGAAAAAATTGGCGACATGCATCCAATCCAAAATGGATTACAACACCAGCTGCATATGGCGTTAGCATGCTGTCAGCCAGACAGTGTGAAAAATAACAGCTTTGCTCGTACGGTTTATTTTGTTGTCCTAATCCCAAGGGTTTGGGGTTTTTTTATCTTTGAAGGACTCCAAGATCCAGGAGTACACCATTGGCAGTATTGGTGTCAGCGGGAAGACGAAGTGGGACGTGTTAGACGGAGTCGTACGACGTCTCTTCAAGGTACAGCCGAATGGAAGGAGGTTGGGGAAAGAGGAGAAATATGTCGCAGAGGTTGGGGGGGGAGGGGGAGGTTGTGGAAATGTGTACAAACAGAATTGCAATGTGCAAATGCAAACTACAACGGACACAATATCGTTGTTGCTATCACTACTGGCTCCATCCACTCTCCACTATAGGAATGCATGAGGGGACATTGAGACGTACTAAACACTATTTAGTAAAATAGGCAGCCCTTCGCACCTTTTACTTCGTTCCATACATCATAGATACAGAAATGAGGTTTCAAATGATTTCTTATTGATGTCTGTCTGCCTGATTTTTTGTTTCTGACGCTTTCCTGCCATGTGTCCATGTACACGTATGTGCGCACCCTCTGCTCAGGAGTATATCTTGCGGGTGGATCCACTGACGAACCTCGGCTTGAGCACGGACAGCGTGCTGGGCTACAGCATCGGAGACCTTGTGCGTAGCCGCGAGTCCGACGTGCCCGAGCTGCTGCCCTGCGGTTACCTGGTGGGCGAGAATACCACCATCCGCGTGGCGCTCAAAGGTATGTATAGTGAAACCTTGGATTGCGAGTAACTTCGTCTGCGAGTGTTTTGCAAGACGAGCAAATTTTTTTAATAAATAATAATTTCATACACGAGCGATGTCTTGCAATACGAGCAGTACGTGTACAGTATAACGCTTTGTCTGCCGAGCGTCACGTGATCACAACTGAGCCAATTGTTCTTTTCGCTCTCTCGCTGTGGGATTGTGGGTAATTGTCTCCCATGTTCGGTCTCAGTCGGCGTGCCTCACTCGTATAGTCAACATCCGTGCGAGCGTATACTGTTTACTATAGTACTATAGTGTTGTGACCACGTGTATACTGTTTACTACAGTACTATAGTGTTGTGACCACCTGTGTACTGTTTACTACAGTACTATAGTGTTGTGACCACGTGTATACTGTTTACTACAGTACTATAGTGTTGTGACCACGTGTATACTGTTTACTACAGTACTATAGTGTTGTGACCACGTGTATACTGTTTACTATAGTACTATAGTGTTGTGACCACGTGTGTGTGCGTAAAGCATTTTTTTTATTTTGTGTCCAAGTGTAGTGACTGTTCTTTAGTAACTGTACTGCAAGTGAAAGTCGTCCTACACAAAAACCCTCCTCCTCTTCTCCTCCCTCTTGTCTCCCTCACACCAACCACGATTAGATGTAATTAATAAATTTGATTACTTTATATTAAATTTAAATAATACAAATATAAAAAGGTATTTTGTATTCATCATTTTTTATATGAATACAGTATTTTGGGGTTGTGGAACGAATCATCTGAGTTTCCATTATTTCTTATGGGGAAAAATCGCTTTGATATACGAGTGCTTTGGATTACGAGCACATTTCCGGAACGAATTGTGCTCACAATCCAAGGTTTCACTGTATAACTTATTTTGCATCGTACGTAGCCAACCGTGCTAATCGGAGGTGCGGGGGAAGGACAACAAACTTAACACAAAAAGCAGTTCTAAAGACATGAGTTTTCAATCTAGGTAAAAAAAAAGTATGATGTACCTTGCGTGAGTCTGCTCTAGATTTCAAAGCTGGTTTAACACACCACACTACAATCCCACGTTCGATTCTTGGCCACGGCTAACCGAGTCATATCTGAACTAGTCGTGGGCTTTTCCTACCTTTACCCAACCCACACTGACCAGCTTGGTGAAGTAAGGTCAAATGACACCCATTACAGGAACAGCATGAGGAGGCCTTTGTTACGTATTACATTTTGAGAACATTCACTGACGGCGGAATGCTTTTCTTTTTGTTCCAAAATCTATTTACACTCACACACATTAATCAATGGCACCGTGTACTTTGCTCTCTCTGTCGCTCATCAATATGACTTTACAGGTGAATAGAAAAATGAGCCTTCACTGCTCACACTCCAGCACGAAACATCATTTATTCTTGTTAACTTGAGCTCTTACTGAAGCTACTCGTTAACAAGTTACTTCAACACTTCTGGTCTCATACGAATATTTTCTTTCTTGTGTACAATGGCCTAATGAAACATAATTACATGGGGCTGGATGCATTCGGTGTGAGCGATGTCAACGTTTTGTTTGCCCTGCAGGCATGGTGGAGCACAGCCTGGACAGCCTGGTGTTCGAGACGCTAATCCCCAAGGCGACACTGCAGCGCTACGTGTCGCTGCTCATGGAGCACCGGCGCATCATCCTGTCCGGTCCCAGCGGCACGGGCAAGACCTTCCTGGCAAACCGGCTCGCAGAGTTCATCGTGCAGCGCTCGGGGCGTGACGTCACCGACGGCGTTATCGCCACCTTCAACGTCGACCACAAGTCCAGCAAGGTCATTTGCTCGCCGTTTTTTTTTTGGCACTTGAAAAAAAATAAATGCGTGCAGTGTTATTGGGCGTGCAACAGTTAATGAATTTCAAATATTTTCTTACGCTCGCGATTACACGCACAATGTATCACGCGTGCAAGATATCGATTACCTCAAATTTAGCACGGCTGGCTACGTATGGCGAGAAAGAAGTTATACATATATACTTTAGATATGTATATATTGTGATGCCTACAGCCACTAAGAGGGGCACTACATTCCCCACAATGTAAACACATGATTATTGAATTGAATCGCGACCCTGGATTTTGAAGGTTCGTCTAATCATGAGAGACAAATCATCTGCATACCTAAATCACTACTTATATTCCCCTTTATGCAGGACAGTGTTAAATAAGCATGCGTTATAATGTGGAGGAGCAGTGGCGTCGCGCTGTATATGCACTCTGCTCTGAACTGGGCATCCTGGGGTCAATTCTAGATTTAAAGCTTTCGTGACTGCTAGAATCCAAACTCTGGTTCTATTGGGTAAAGTCACGTAGGTAAAAAATACGTGACTTTACCCAATAGAACAAAAAGAGTATGGATCCTGGGGTCAACGGCTGGCCACGGCCTTACGGCCAACATCAGTGGCACACAGTGTCTGAATTGGTATGAGCTCCCCCCAAATTGCCAACCCCAAACTGACAAGTGTCGTGAAGTATGACCAAACGACCCCCATGACCGACACAAGAAGTTCAACCATACATACATACATCGATCCTGTTAGAAGTGAATTTCTGCCACTATCACTGACAAGAGACGCACGTGGCGGACAGGAGTTGCGGCAATACCTCTTAAACTTGGCGGACCAATGCAACAGCGAGAGCAACGCAGCCGACATGCCGCTGGTGATTATCCTCGACAACCTGCACCACATCGGCTCGCTGGGCGACATCTTCAACGGCTTCCTCAACTGCAAGTACCAGAAATGGTCAGTAGCGCAAACCCGCAATTAATGTCACATTGCACGCAGTGCTTGCATAAAAAAAAAATCCATCGTTGTGCTCTTAATTGTATGCTCCCATGCCCACGCTCACCGCCTACCAACAGCCTGCACAAATCAGCGTGGTAAAGTTTGGTTGAATATCCCCCATGGTGTGGGGAGGCCCTCATCGAGCAATAGATTTGCAAAAGGGGGTTTTACATGCACGAACATGTGTTAACAGTTCAAACATTGTTAACTATGATTTATAATTGCAGTGCAAAGTCACGGATGATCTTGTTTGGTCTAATGCGACAATACTGCAGCTTTTACTGCGTGAGATTCAATTATAGTGTTGAGGATGAGGCTCTAAGGCTTTACTATTACGTTTAAACAGCACTTTAATGTCGCAGCGTTTAATATGATTGTTGTTGCTGAATCACATTGCAGCCCTTACATCATCGGCACCATGAACCAAGCCACGACGTCAACGCCAAACCTACAGCTCCATCACAACTTCAGGTGATGGGGGAGATGTTATAAGACGAGCACATGCACTTGAGAAATGTATAAGAAAACAAATCTGAGTGCAACAATGCTTGTCAAAAATCAGCATTGTTATTCAATTTAATGGAGGGGAAACGATCATAACTGCAAGTAATTGTAGACGTTACAATTTTTTTTATGATTCTGGAAACAAGGGTGTATAGATTTGTATTAACGGTGGCCCTGGAAGAGCATGTGTATATTTCATTAGTTTGAAAGTTGAGAAAATGTTGAAAGCAATTCGGTTACCTGTGATCAAATCACGCTGAATGCACCCAATATTGTATCTCAGAAGTTAAGTAGGTCTCAGCCTGGCTAGAGCTTGGATGGGAGATTCCTAGTGCATACCAGGTGCTGTATGCATGAGGCTACAGGCTAAGTGACCAGAAGATGACTGTATAGATTCAATGTATTGTGCCTATATGTGCAGAGCTCTGATGTTATCTCCTCATATGGGTGGGGTTTTTCGAGGTATCCTAATTTCTGTCACATGCGACCGACTCCTTAATAGTATTGGCCAAACATCCCAATACAGGAGTGAGGTGTTCTGGAATAAAGAAAATAATCATGATTAACCCTGTCCCGTTCCGCTCACGTCCATGTACGTCATCCGTTTTTCCTCCGATTCTTTTCTGATGACGTACGTGTGCATCATCAAAACGAAACTGGAAGTAAAGCTAAAATAAAATAACTTCATCGGTACGGAGGCTCCCACAAGGCCTTGCGGAAGGGCGTATCATAGAGTGCGGTCGTGTCCTTACAATTCTCTGCGGTGAGTCCAATGTCTTTAAAAGCAATGGCGCTATGCCTCTCTAAACAAAATCAATGCTGAGCTGCTTGCGGGTTCAGATATTCAGAGGTCAACGGGACCCCACCCTGCAACTTGCATGTCTCGTATCGAGAAAGGGTTAATTGGCATTGTTCTTTCGAACATGCAGCGAGTTCCTAAAATGTGCCAATGACCCGGCAACACACTAACTGCTGCCCTCCTTCTCTTGTTAGGTGGGTGCTGTGTGCCAACCATGTGGAGCCTGTCAACGGGTTCTTGGGACGTTTCCTGCGCAGAAAGCTCATAGAGACAGAGATACAGAGCAGCTCTCGGAATAATGACCTCATCCGCATCATGGACTGGATGCCCAAGGTGTGGCAGCATCTCAATCGCTTCCTGGAGGCCCACAGCTCTTCCGACGTCACCATCGGTGAGACCACAAGCCTAACATGTTTTCACTCTTTCGTTTTAAAAGTCTAATTTATATTTGCAGCCGATTGCATTACAATCTGTGCTAATTAAATGGAAATGGCCTCGCGATGATTATGATTGTGGTGGAAGCGGTTAAAGTGACTTTCAGTGCAGTGAAACGGCTTGCCACTTGTTGCAGAGGTTCACGGTTCGAAGCCAGCCACCTCTTTGATACATACTGCATGGGTGTTGTTAACCTTTGGTACACAGCATCTGCTTCACGATGGACATCAAACACCCCGCAATGTTATTTGAAAATGAGTAGGACGTGTGCTGGTGATGCGGTCCAAATTTTCCCCACGTTTTAAAATTGCTCATAAATCATCAGATTGGGTAGAGCCACATAGCAACATTGCCCACAGCTATGAAACTACAACAGACGATACGTGTACGTAAAACACAATGCCTTGGTGATAGCCTTTCACAATGAGAATAGTGTAAATACTAAATCTACTCATGGTTTGATTGTTATGTTGTGTCCATGGTTATGCAGGTCCTCGGCTCTTTCTGTCCTGTCCGATGGATGTGGGCGGCTCACGAGTCTGGTTCACCGACCTGTGGAACTACTCTATCATCCCTTATGTTCTTGAGGCTGTTCGTGAAGGCTTACAGGCAAGTCTCTTACCAATGGTACACATCAGGGATAAATAAACTTAAATTAATACATTAATTTATGTTGTAAATGTGTATTTGGTATTTTTAAAACACACATGGAGCACATAAAACACCAAATGAGATTCGTGTACAGCATTCATGTTGGTCACGTTAGTTGTTGCAAATAATGTGTTTTTCATTAATAAGAAACTTTATTTGGAGGAAAATCCAATTAGTTTCCAATAATTATTGCCTGTGACTCTCATTAATAAGTAAGCTAGGTTGCTGATGACCCACATAATTTTCGAGTTCCACACCAATTTTCTATAAAAGTCACGATTGGCAGACAGGGATGAATTTAGAGGAGTGTTCAACGTGGCCGCCCGTCCCTGCCTCACAGTTGTATGGACGGCGCTCGGCTTGGGAGGACCCTGCCAAGTGGGTGATGGAGACGTATCCATGGGCGTCGACCCCACTGCAGCATGACTGGCCTACGCTGCTCCAGCTGAGGCCCGAAGACGTGGGCTTTGACGGTTACACATCGGCACGGGAGGGCAGCACCTCCAAGCCAGCTCCGCCTAGTGATGTGGAGGGCGACCCGCTGGTAAGTTATGGGTATTGCAGTACCATGCCATATTATACAACAAAAGTTAAGTGCGTCTTAAAATTTGGTAGGTGTGTGTGATCAGATCTGTATAACTTAATTGACACCGGGCAAACATTTAGGGGTATGTCTTAATTTCATTTAGGGGTATGTCTTAATTTCAGAAACAATCTTATAATCTGGAGAATACGGCAATTGACCTACAGTTAGCATTGTATATTTATATATTAGTACACATAACTAGTGTAATAGGGATGGAATTGTTCTGGCCCAGGTTTGATGGTTGAACTTGAACGCTGTGTGAACAGTGGGGTGCTGTAGCACTTGAGAATAATGAGGATGATGATGATGAAGTTGAGGATAACGGTAACAATGCTGAGCAGGATAACAATGACAGTGATGGCAAGGATAACGATGATAATTACGATACCAAGGATAATGATGTATTTTGAACTTCATTTGCACCGCACGTAGCCAACCGTGATAATCGGAGGTGATGTTTATGCTAGCGCAAACCTGTAAAGGGCCCATCTGTTGCATTAGGCATTCATGTTGTGTTGTAATTGGAGGTAGCTCACAGCAAATGAGAGTGCCGTGCTGGAAGTAATATTGGCCAACGCCAAATTGTGCAAAGTTCTACAATCAGGAGACACCCAAGAGAAGCGTGCGGGGTTGTCCAATCGGTAGAGCTCTGGTCCCCAAACGTTCCAGAAAGAATCCTCGATTCAGCAGAGACCGACCCATAGAGACTATGGCTGGAGGCCTGGGGGGATTGGGGTATAAAAGCCGCTGTCGCAAAACACTCCGGATCACCATATGAAGAAATCTCATTTGATTGTGTTTCCTGGGATTATACTAAAGATCGCAGTCCAAACCACAGGTCGCTATGCATGCCTTTAATCCAGCACTGTGGAGGTGAGCGTTAGGTGGATCACACAAACGTTGTGAACCTTCCTTCCTGTGGGCGTCGAGGTGCTATGCCCTGGCTCGCCAGGAGAAGGCAGAACAACAACTTGTATACTCTGATTGGCTGAAATAATCTTAACATAAACACCCACTGCAGGACCCACCTGAAAAAAAGAGTCGTGTGTCAGTGTGGCTTTCCTGAATATAGGTAAAATCATAATTTTTATAATAGTAAATACTGCAGGGAAGCATAGATGAGTTACAGAGCAAAGCGAGTTTCATAAAGTGCAAAGGGAAAACAAGCTGTGGAATATAATACTTTGTGAAGCTAACGTATACAGTCCAGCGTAGGTAGTTGTTTATTTGTTAAGTCTGTATATGAGTATACATATCAGTGAGTTGTTTATATTTGATAGCTGTACGGTGTACGAAAGCGTTTGATTATAAGTTGGCAACATATGGTAACCAGGTATTGTACCAATAAATGGTTCAGGCACCCCCCCCCCTGACCCCTTTCAATGATTAGTCATAATTCAGGGTGTCAGTTTTATTCCAGAATCAATTATCACATTGCGGCGAATGGTAACGGTTCTATAAGCTGCACGCTTAAAGTGACCCGATCATATACAATTGAGGGCAGCACAGAAAAATCCATTATTATACTGTACTTCTAAGCTCTGTCTGTGCTTCGCCACCTTCAATTCACACTGACTAGCATGGAATAATATTGTAGTCAGTACAGTTAGGTGGAGGCTCATCTTGCAATGGTTTTGACAAAAAGGCTGTGCGTGCACAAATACTGCTTTGTATGAATGTCATCAACCACTCTGCATTTTCTCAAATTGTTCTCTGCCCCTCGTTTCCCTAACTAGATGAACATGCTCATGAGACTACAAGAGGCAGCAAACTACTCAAGCCCCCAGAGCTGTGACAGCGACTCTAACAGCACCAGCCACCACGAGGACATCCTTGACTCCTCGTTTGAGTCCACGCTGTGACCCAAGCATCATCCACGCGAGAGTCATGTGCTTCCGACAAGTGGCATGCACCAGCCTCCACAAGAGGCCGCTTCTGAAGATGTTGCAGTCAAGTGTGTAGTAATACATGGAGGTGATGGAGATATTAGGATGATCAAAGCACCATGGAATCGTCATAATCTGCTGAATATGGAGAAATTGTCCAGAATTTTGAACATTCGTTGGAGATATTCTATGCCTCCATTTGGGAGCTGCATTTATGGGAAAGGTCCTTCGCGTTACGAAAATGCACAGAAATGCTACTTGGCATGAAAAAAAAAACAATTTTCACTCGAAATCATGTACACATGCCAATACACAAACACAAGACACCACTTGTGGTACAATGGAAACGCCTCTGAAAACCCCTGGGTCCCCGTATTCAGTGCCGCCAGCAATTTATTGATATTCCCGAGGCATAAGGCACTCGTTCAAGCACGGAGCGACGTGTGTCCTGCAGAGAGATTGCATTTGCAATGCATCAAGACAATTTTGTGTAGTCACATCACTGGATGACAGTTGAATCAGAACTGCGTTTAAAGTCAAAGAAAATTACTTGTCGATCGACAAAGACAATGTTTTTAGCCTTTCATCAGTTGTTATGTTGATGGTATTCCTTGTGGAAACTGTGTATTGCAATAAAAGGACAAAATACAAATGACGAGAATCTGATTTAAAAAAAAATTAGTATTTCGGCAAAACCTTAACTTGAATCTGCCGATTGATAACAAATCTAAGACTTTACCTATGCAGGAACTGGTTTGTGCTGCTCATGGATCATTAACACTGCTTGCTGAGAGTCTCAAGAAAGGCTTGTGAAGCCAACAAATTATTTTGTTGTTTTTTTCTGTCGACAAAGCTGGATATATTTTGCACATGTCTGCAATGACATGCTCGTGGAAGTGTAAGACACGGTGCTACGCCATCCTTGTCCGTACGATTACTTGGCAGAATATGTTTTTTGCCAAATTCCACACGTTTGCCAGGCCTAAGCACAAAATAGTGTTGTCCTCAAAATGAGTGCCAGCATTTGGTTCTGATGCCTGTGCAACAGGTCAGTGCTTTGTCTTCAACAAAATATACAAAGAAGTGAAGTCAGAGGACACTTTTTACAGGTGATAGAATAAATACCTGAAAGTATCTCAATATCAGAAATGTGTTCTCTGCATTACCAAGAGAAGTTTATGCTGTTGCCACAGTGTTTTATAAGATGTGATTTTTTTCTATTACTTTACTTCATCAAGGATGTTATTGTAACAATAATTTATGTTGGTGCTGACACACAATGCCTTACTCTTGCATAAGAATTGGTCAGATCTTACCATGGTACCTAACTTTTCACATACAGTTGATCGGCACAGAAAGCTTGCCCGTGTTTGATCAACAACTGCTTAGAGTGGAATTTCCAGCCTTCTATTTTGTTATGTTTTGTAAATAAACTATAGCCTTTTGTTGTTTTTTTTTAATTCACGGAATATCCATAAAGCAGACAAGTGAAAATGTTGTGACTACTGAGGCTGTTTCAAAATTACATCAAACAGTTGCTGTCCACCCCACTTGCAAATTTCAGCTACTATATAAAATGTTATGCTTTGTTTAAATGCTGCTGGCAACAAGGTGTATTACTTTTCAAAATGGCTTTATGTTCTGAACAAATGTTAAAATGTGAAGCATCTTGGTTCTTTAGTGAGAGCACTATGCTTTTATGCAATTAATTAGCTGAAAGATTACTATATCAACATTGAGTGCCCTTAAAAAAGGTATTTTCAGGAAATGTGTCTGCTAAATGAAAGAGTTGTTTAATCCCTTTAAAATTGGGACATTTAAAAACAAGCACAATAGAAAAGTACAAAGTATCCTTAAATCGCTTTCTTGACACATTTTGTTTGAATAAATTCCGAGAGCTGAACTCTTAAATGTACACAAATTTAAACAATTTTCGTAAAAGTGCACAACATTGCAGTATCATTAACGCAGTAACTATTAATGGTTACGATATTTTGATGGGAAATGTTTGTTACGTATTACAGTTTACCATGTTGTATAGCACACAGCCTTGCTTTGAAGTCACATGTTCAACTGGATATCTCCAAATCTTAATGCGGAAAAGAACAATTGTTGACGTCAGACAGCAACGGGGGAGTGCATGTTGTGGCATGCATGTAAATTGTAGGCTAATGCTTGGGGCTATGCTGAGTGCTGATGCAAAAAAAACTACTTTAATTATATTTTACATGTTTTAACTTGACAAGCACACACCGCAGTACATTTGATTGAACTCCGAGTTATGTAATTGGAAGACGTAAACTATCCATTTCCTGAATGGCAATCGACATTATGTAAAAAAAAAAGCTTTTTTGCATCTCTGATACGTTTTCCGATTAGAAAAGGGGCCGTCCATAAATGATGTCACGCACCTGGGGGGGGGGGGGTGACGGGGGGGTTTGATAAATGTGACGTCACATCAAAATGCGCAACTTTAAATAAATATAGACAACACGTTCTACTTAATTAAATAGACTTTTTGATAAATCTTTTTCTCCTACAACATCAGAGTGCAGCGCCACATTAAATACGCACTACAATGACAATAGTTTAAAGCGATTTGAAGCATCTTGGTTCTTTCGCAAACGTCACGTAGAATATTTTGTTTTATTGTGTTATTCTCATTAAAGGTGACTTTACCGAAAGAACCAAGAAGATGAATCCTTGCAGTCACGAAAGCTTTAAATCGATTTGAAGCATGTTTTATTTTTTTTTGGGGGGGGGGCGCAGAGCTTTGTGACGTCATATTTGAGGGGGGTCTGACTTTGTGACGCCGCCGTGTGACGAGGGGGGGGGGTCAAAATCGTCCGAAATCACGTGAGGTCATTTATGGACGGCCCCAAAGTAGAATTGCCAACTACACAACCTGTTATTCATAAGATACATTATAGTGTATATCTTATGGCCACTGATATTGCTTTCATTGCAGTATGATTGTATTTATTGATGTCATCAATGTTCAATACAGTGTTAAGCCACTCATATTTTTTCATTGAAGTTGTGAAAACATACTATGCAAAGACCACGCCATTGTTAATGCATATAGTATACATTTTATTTTAAGCCAAATTGAAGCCAAATTGTTGAACCTGCCATTTGAACAAACAATACCATGATATTTTTTGCGGTAAAGTATATTTTTGAAACCACATCTTCTGATAGTTTATGTAAAGTTTGGATAAATTAAAGCTTATATTGTTTGGACTCTGCTGATTGTCAGTGTTTACGGAACCTTGAGTTTTGTGCTTAAGGCTGAAACCCATGTTGTGTTGTTATGCCGTGTGAAAACCTGTGAATGTGGTGATGGTTGCAAATGTTGTGTGAATTTGTGGGTGAAAAAAAAACCCTTGCTTTATTCTCCTGTAAATTTTGCCATGTACTGTATTGTAACATAAAACCAGCTGTAAATAGGGGTGAATAGCGATAACATTTTGAAAGGTTTTATAGGCATTTTTGTAAGCGCTAGGGAGATAATCGGTATTTTGTGTAAGAAACAAATCTTTTTTTTCCTTGTTGCCGGTCATTGTGGAGGTGTTCTGTACTTGGAAATTTCAACAACTCTGGGGGGGGGGGGGTGGGACAACCGATGGACATAATATACCTGTCGTAAATTATTCCGTGTTAAAAAAATTAAATGCTATTTATTAATAATCTTGTGAGTTGTGACTTTCATTAAGGTGCATGCACCGATTGTTATGACTTTACCACATTGTGCAATGGACTGAAGGTTTACACAGGACAGTGAAACACCTTATCTACGGTCAAGGTGGGTACAATGTTCATGGAGATACAAATCCGCTGGTGAGCGGCATCATAATCCCATTACAATATCCGCGATAAAGAAATATAGGGTAATCCTGCCACGGAAACCCCCCTTATCTGTGAAAATGGAGAATGGATGTCTCCAACGATACGTTTGCACGAATTGATTCAGGACCTCAGATTCTGAGATGAGAGGAGTTATTACAGTCTACGCGGAAGTCTAGCTATTTAAAAACAGAGCAATCCTGGTAAGATTGTCTTTGCAATAAGTTTTGTAAATTGCCTATATTAGAGTTTACGGTCAATTACTGTATATTGTGGGCGAGTCACTTTGTGCACCGTACAGCCTGTAATCAACTGCTGGATAAAGGTCTCCCCGCAACTTGTGAGCCATGGGGGATACTGTATTTTACCCAACCTCAACCACGCTGGTCAATACAGATTAGCACGGTTAGCTACGTAGGTTGCGAAATACGTTCAACATACGGTGCATACACTCAACGTTGCGTGACTGAAAGGGGATGGGTGGAATGTACCCGTTTCTTTTCCACCCGGGATTGCATTTTGAGTTATTTAAAATACTTGGAAATTACGATGTCGGGTACGCTGAGTCTGGTTAGTACATATTCGTTACCGGTGTTGGCTTTGAGCGGAAGTCTAACTCGGAAGACGGATTTGTAGTGCGGTGCGCTAACCACTACACCACCGCTCCCCACACAATAACATACACAGTGACGTTTTCAGTTTTATTTATTAGGTAATAACCCTGTGAGCCATGCGGCTCTTGACTCGGGTGCAACCGCAACAAACAAAAACATGAACAAGAAATATCTTAAAGTGATTTGAAGCTTTCGTGACTGCAGTAATCCATACTCTTTGGTTCTTTCGGTAAAGTCACGTAGTAAGAAATAAAATAAAACAAATCACGACGTTTCGATTGCAACACAAGCAATCTTCATCAGGTGTGACAACCACAGCAAGAAAAAATAAAGATTGTGTTGCAATCGAAACGTCCTGATTTGTTTTATTTTATTTCCAACTACGTGACTTTACCGAAAGAACCAAATAGTATCTTAAAGTGACTACACGCAACAGAAAAATCCAGGAAAAAACAGCAAAGTCTTCCAGAAAAAAAAACCCCACCGTATTGCAACGCTGTGTGCAAAAAAAAATCCCAGTGGGATGCAAGTCAAACAATAACAGCCATAAGTCGATTTAGATTAAAGTTTATCAGGCTAACTCTGTACTACAACAAACAAACATGAAGTATAGACATGCACACGCCGGGCACACAGACGACACAAGCGTCCATGTGGTTGGTACACGTGGCGTTTGGGGACGAGAGCCTTCATCGTCAGCAGATTGTCGGTGATATCGTCACCCTGGTATGCACGGGTTCCCCGCGTACGCAGCAGTGACGAACTTCGCACTATATATAGACACTCAACTCCCCTCGTCAACAACACCGCCTTGAAATACAAGATATAATCGACGACGTTTCGGGAAATGGCCATTCGCGTGCTTGTGAAGGGCTATGTGCGATCACGGGTAATTGCCCGACGCGTCGCCGATTATGTAGTTTTTCTCTTTTGCAGCGCATGAAGGGTCATTACCCGAAACGTTGACGACTGTATGTGTTTTCCTTCTAAGGCCACAGTGTTATTGACGATCGATTGTCTTGTTAATCGTCAGAACGTGAAGCTGCTTCCACGATCTCCCCGCAATGCAACGTGGCGCGAAACGTCAGACATTCCAAAACAACACGCGGCGCGCTATCCAAACCCGAAACACACACCGCTTGAGAGTTAGTATCCATTGTATTTATAACAGCCAAACATTTACACAACTATTAGTCTTGGAGTCTTGAAAGCGAAGGGTACACGGGAGGAGAGTTCACAATCTGGCATCTACAGATGTTCGATCTTTCCTGCTGGATGTATCCGCGCTTCGTGGAACAAGCTTAAGATGTTTATCGGTGAAGACCCTGGGTTGTAATTCAACACAATAATGAAGGGGGGTTTTTTTTTTTGGGGGGGGGGGTGGTTAGATCGCGTAAATGTGTCGTTAACCCACCACCACCCGACACAGCCATTTAGTGAGGTTTGTCACGTAAACAGAACGTGCCAATTCGTTACTAGTACAGCACACCGGTGTGTCGGAGAGTAAACCCAAAACATTTACAATCCGAGTACGACATTTCGCTGGCCATTACAACTAGTTTCATCAGGCGATATCCAGAATTGTGTATACAGTATTGGGTCGCGAAAGCCGATGTGTTAAACCAAATCAACACATACCGTCATGCCTGTCAACCCCTTATCAGTGCCTAACTTAGGAGACGTCCTTAAATGACGTCACTCGATTTTGGACGATTTTTGTCCCCCCCCCCTCGTCACACGGCGTCACAAAGTCAGACCCCCGCCTCAAATATGACGTCTCAAAGCTCTGCCCCCCCCCCTCCAAAAATATATATAAAACATCATTCAAATCGCTTTAAACTATTAGCATTGTAGTGCGTATTTATTGTGGTGCTGCACTCTGATGTTGTAGGAGAAAACATTTATTAAAAAGTCTATTTAATTAAGTATAACGTATTCTTAGCTCTTTCGGTAAAGTCAACGTGACTTTACCGAAAGAGCTAAGAATATGAATTACTGCAGTCACGAAAGCTTTAAATCAAAATTTAAGTAGAACGTGTTATCTATATTTATTTAAAGTTGCGCATTTTGAAGTGACGTCACATTTCTCAAACCTTCCCATCGTCACACATCGTCACAAATGTCTGACCCCCACCCCCCAGGTGCGTGACGTCATTTATGGACGGCCCCATACTGCCATGCCTGTCAACCCCTTATCAGTTCATCCTACGAAGTAACCCCCCCATCACAAGGGAGAAAACACAAACGAATTCGTGTGCCCGCATTGAAACGTCCGTAACACCTGTACGGGACCCTAAAAACATCAAACTCAAATTTCCCCGTACAAGAATCATACGGGGTAAAAACCGTACGGGTCGACGCGGTATGATGATAGCACTCGATTGAAAGTATTACAACTAATCTTTGAAACGATTTGCCCCCCACCCCCCCACGAAATGTCAATCCCACCGTGGCGCGTCGACCAAACGAGAAACGCGCGCGCGCATTTCCTAAAAATGATGACACGAGACGCGAGTTAAATCCGTACAGCGGATAGGCATCGGCGCTCATCCGCGGCCACGCAGCGGCCCACACAGCAGGGGCGGATGGGCGCGGCGCTTATGCGCGCTGGGGATTTCAAAGCGGAACAGGGGGGAGTTGTTTGTAAAGCTTTTTATCTTTTTCTCTCTCTCTCTCTGCGTGTGTTGTGTTCGCGGTCGCTTGCTATCCGGCGGCCGTCCCCCCCCCCACCCCCTAAAGGTCTTGCCCAGGTTCGCCGCACGCAACCCGAATGACATCCGTCTGAATGATCTCGGGTGGGTTGTGTTTATTTTCCAACTTAACTTTTCCGGACGTTACCGCACGACGGCTGGGCTTTCTCTCAATAACACAGTCGTCGTCGTCTTCGTCGTCGTCGTGATGTCCAGCGGCGGCGGGAAGCCGTTCGAGAGAGCGCTGAGCATCCTGCACGACAACGGCAGTGAGATGCACCCCTTGGCACTGGCCGGAGCGCTGGACATGCAGCTGGTGCAGCTGCTGCAGGTGCTGCGCGACAAGCCAGACCTGTTCGCGTTCGTCGAGGGCAACGGGAACGAAGCGCCCGGGATGAGGTCCAACTCCACGGTGCTGGCCGTGACCACGCTGCGCCTTTGCGCCAAGTACCGGGATCCGCACGGCTGCCCCGAGGGGGACAGCTGCCAGAAGCTGCACATGTGTCGCTCCTACGTGCTGGGCAACTGCAAGTTCGGGTAATGTGGGCCCCCCACCCACACCCACATCCACACCCCTATCTCGGGTGGTCTGATCTCACTCACACGGCGCTCATCAACATGTGTCTGATCTACTCTTAGACGTCTTTATCCAGAGGTCCCAACCTCAAGCGTCTCCCACAACGTGGGTTCTATCGAGGTCCGGCTCTAGCGGCGCTCGGATTTGGGGGGGGGGGGAGCAGTTGAGTTATTGTGTGGGTCACGGTGATAGGTGATATATATATACCACCCAAGCAAACTCTAAACACCGACCCGAGGCAACTCCAGGAATCTCGCCAACAAGGGGTATCCGCTCTCGACGTCTCGTCTAAACGTCTCATCCATTTGGATTTCACATTCGAGGGTTTACTGTAGATATCATACAAACAGCTGTTTCAACTCGACAGGGTAACACGTCCAGAAATCTCATTTACGGGGTTCTCACCTCCAAGGATCTCCACCCCACCAACACAGGGGTTCTCACCTCCAAGGATCTCCACCCCACCAACACGGGGGTTATCTCGAGATGTCTCATCCATAGGGAGCCTCGCCTACTTTGGGCATCCCTGCAGAGGTCACACTTTCAGGGACGTCGTTGATCAAAGTCTAATTCTCCTGAGACCTCCCAACAGGGGCCACACTTTATGAGGACTGTCCTCCAGGATACTCGCCTCCAGAGGTATAACCCAAAGGGATCTTGCCAAAAGCCATCTCACCACTGGCGGAGCCAGTGGGGGGGGGGGGGGGGGGGGGGGGTGGCACGTGCCCCCCCCAATTATCCGATCGAAATCCCTAATTTCGATCGGATCATTGGGGTGTATTAGTAATATTATTATGTGCCAGGGACGCTATGAGATTATAGGACAATAGTCTGAGTCCATAATTGGCAATACGTAACGACAAAGCAGTTATAAGTGACTCACAGAATTGTGCGCAGTTGCGGATACAGTACACGATTTCCCTGAAGGCATTCACCTTCAGCGAGCGCGATGCCGATCACAACGCGGTTCGAATTCGACCCTCGATCGATGGCTGCGCCATCGCCGCGCACGCGTCCAATAAAAAGCCAGGGACAACTCCTTACTTACTAACAACTCCTCTATCATTTGTCATTGCTGGAGGGGTTGCCCCCCCTACCTGTTAATCCTGGCTCCGCCGTTGCATCTCACCCACATAAGCCTCAACAGGGCCCTTGCCTTATCTACACTGGTCTCAGCTTCAGTAGTCTCACCTCCACAGATTCGTTTTTAGATCCTACGGTGGCATCACCTCCGTTAAATCTCACCGACAGAGGTCTCAACAACGAGCCTGACCTCATCACACGTGACTTCAGGTGATCTCACCCCCAACGTTTTCACTGCCAGAGGTTTCAATTTCAAGAGTTTCACCTTGATGGATCCTAAACCCAAAGGTTTCACTATGTAGACATTTTATTTGAAGGAGTCTCACCTTTAATAAGTCTAATCCTGATTTACGTGGGCCCATGGGTGTTGTAAATCATGATCTTCATCACTGCATAATTATATAAAACACTAGCTTTACTACCCGGCTTCGCCCGGGACTTGGATTCTTGTCTTGGATTAATAAACGGCCTACGCGGAGGGTGGGGGGGGGGGGGATGAGTGACGTCAGCAGGCACACTGCGTGACGCTGCCGCATGCGGGTGACATGACAGATGTGACGTCACCCCTCACTTGCCGTGCAAAATATATCCATTATTGCGCCCCCCCCCCCCCAAAACAAAAAATACAAAAGTCTATTTTTAGACTTTTTGCATTGTGTACAGTCTGGAAACTACCAACTACCCACATGCCAAATTTCAAGTTTGTTGCATGTCGGGAAGTATGCTAAACATTTTGCACAGACACATTCACTAATTTCCCTTATATATAGACATACAACCCTTTTCTTTAATTATGTAGATGTTCACCCCGAGCCCTCATTACTTTGATCGTACATTGTGTTTGAGCTGTACGCCTTTTGGCGCCATCTGATCGAGCACCAATTGGGTCGAGGCTCAAAAGAAAGCCGTCCCTTGGTGTGGACCAATCAGTTTCAAGGACAATGCATATATTATCATAGTACGTTTTTTGTTTGCATTTTGACTGCAGGTATTGTGGTTAATGCAGACATGAATCCTTGTAAAAAAAAGGTTTCAGTTTTGTTGCCAGAAAAAAGGAGCAAAAAAGCCCTATTATTATAATAAAAATGTAAGTTGTAAATTAAATTATACAATAGAGTAATGTGACAGTGTCAACTGTTGTATAAATGTGTTTCTTTCTATTTCCTTATTCTCTTGTAGGCCTCGATGCAAATTTTCACATGATTTCAGGGATGCACACAATCGTGACTTGTGTTATGAAAACAAAGTGGAGGGGCTTCCATTTGACAATATTCAAAAGCTGCTCTTACCAAATGACCCTGCTCTCCTCCCTCAGGTATTGTAGCTGCATTCTTCCACTTGCAGATCTATATGGGTGTGACTTTACAATAAAATGTATCGTGCTTTTTTTGGGGGGGGGGGAGGTACTATGGTACTTGCATACACACACAAGTATATACATAGCCTCTGGCTAAATTACCCAGAGTGCACTCAATATTGTCAGGTCTCCGAAGCTAAGTAGGAATTGAGCCTGGATAGTGCTTGGAAGGGTGACCAATATGCACATAGCTTCGTGAACAGGGAGCAATTTGTCAGATTTCCAGTGGTGAGATAAAATAGACAGGGTTTTACCAGCCCACACAAAAACGAACGTGGTGAAGTTTGGTCAAACAGTCTCGATGGCCAACATGTTAGGAGGCCTTTTTCCAATCATAGATTGCCAACTGAAAATTATCATTGAGCACATAACAGATGACATTGCTGTAATGTATCGTATGCACTTCGAAATAATGGAAATGCATTTTAACTTGGGAAGCTCCATTCAGTCTAAAGACTTATATATCAGGACCCTGCTACATCGATATAATGGAAATGCATTTTAACTTGGCAAGCTCCATTCAGTCTAAAGACTTATATATCAGGACCCTGCTACATCGAAATAATGGAAATGCATTTAGCTTGGGAAGCTGCATTCAGTCTAAAGACTTATATATCAGGACCCTGCTACATCGAAATAATGGAAATGCATTTTAACTTGGGAAGCTCCATTCAGTCTAAAGACTTATATATCAGGACCCTGCTACATTGGGATGTCTGGCCATTTACAATAATGTTTGGCTTCTTATGGGATAAATCCAGAACTTGGAGAAAACCAGCCACGTAAAAAGATTCAAAAATCCATTGCTCTCTACTTCCATTTGCTGGTCACAACGGAGCCAGTTGCAACCCTAGAAATGACACGGTATTTCCAAACAGGTTCCCATTCAAGTACAAAGCAGGCTCAACTTTGGCACTGCCAATTCAATCCCTGAGATTAAATTTGCAGAGCCAGGGAAATTCCTCCCCATCCTCATCAATCGCCCTCATCGAATCGCGGCCTGGTTGTGAGCAAATCCATGTTCGACACAACCCCTCCCCCCACCTTCAACACCCTGCATTGACCAGAGTGGTGAAGGATGGTCAAGTATACCTCACAGATCAGATAGTTTTATTTATTTAAGCAGGAAGGGCCCAATTAGCTGCCTGGCTCTTATTTCAGACGTTATACAGTACATATATGAGTTGCACAAGCATGGTTACATAGGTCGTGATACAGTCCATAAGGCGTGAGAGAAGCCACTATACAGCAGTGGATTGACAAAGCGGTGTGTACATGCACTTGAATACATTAATTTCAGCAATGTGAGCCGTTCGCATGCATATGGTGGGAGACTAATCTATTGGGTGTATTGAGGCCATAACTTTACATGCCACGTACACAAACACCACACTGTTGTAGGTGACTGTCGCGGTGCAATGAGGTGTATTTCAGAGATTTGTTTGTTGACAACCCAGTCTAGATATTTTCTTTGTATATTTTGTGGTTGTTTGTCAAAATGTGTTGCTCACGTGCTTTGGCTATTTCGTAATGGAATAGCTCTTCACACAGGTGTGTCAGTGGCATGATTTATATAAATATATATTCAGTTGTAAGACTATGGTACACTGAAACTGTTAATTTGCATTTATAAGGCGATAATGTTGATGTCAATTGTGGATGAGAGTTGTCATCCATACCATGCGCAGTACAGGTCATCAGAAGGTGTTCCTCAAGGGGGGAAACTAACTTTCATCAGTGAACACAATTTGCAGTAGGAGAGGGAATAAAATGTAATATGCATGTATTGTATTTTAATTGTCATGGTACAATGTGACAATATGTATGCGTGTGTTTTTTTTACAGATGTGCAATACCTACAAGGTTTCGGGAGGTAACGAGTGTGAATTTAACGAGAAATGTACAAGGCTGCATCTGTGCAAACAGTTTGTTTTAGGCAATTGTAAATTTGGGGACAATTGCCGACGCAATCATAACTTGAACGATCGAAAGATTCAAATATTGCTGAATAAGTTCATGCTTACCGCCTACCGTAATGACGAGGTGCTGAAACTGCTCTGGAAGAAGGAGCAAATTCACATTGCCACAAGGAGCAGTTCCACTTATGTAAATACGAAATTGGACAAATTGAGTGACAAACCCTTCAGTTCTGTCAAACCCTACAGTTTTGACATGGACCCAACCAGGGGCAGAGGAAGAGGCAGAGGAAGAGGCAGAGGTAGAGGTAGAGGAAGATCACAACCCCCAAGCAATGTGGTTTGTCCAGAACTGCCCAGCACAGGTAAAGCACTAATTGTCACATGGTATTGTTTGTACATGACACATTTGCTAGATGACGTTGAATAATTTTCAATTAAAAAAAATTATATTGTTCTTTTTCAACACATCTCATAGCTGGGATAACTTCCTGACAATTTAAACTCTTGTTTCAGATAAGCAGCAAGCTGGTGCAACAGGTTACTCACCTTCAGTGGGCACTCCTAAGCATGGCAGTGATGGTTATACTGCAATGGAGAATGTCAAGGAGGACAATATCTCTCTATTTCACCTCCTTTCTGAGTGCCATTTAAAAGGTGTGTTTTGATTACTGTTATTTTTAAAGGAACACATCACAGTAGCACAACATTGAAAATTACGCATCATACAGTTTATTAACACTGTCTATTTTAAAATGGTAAGACATTTTCTCAAGGCTTTATTTATGTGGGGTCAAATGCTGACGCAATCATAACTTGAACGATCCGAAGATGCAAATATTGCTGCAGAAGTTCATGCTTTACTGCCTAACCTAATGCCATTATGCTAAAACTGCTCTGGAAGAAGGAGCAAATTCACATTGCCACAAGGAGCAGTTCCCTTTTGAAAATACGAAATCTGACAATTTAAGTGAAAAGACTGAGTTTGACAAACCCTACAGTTTTGATATACCATGCAATTTTGACAAAGACCCAACCAGGGGCAGAGGAGGAGGAAGAGACGGAGGAAGAGGAAGATCTCAACCCCCAAGCCATGTGGTTCGTCCGGTATCGCTCAGCATAGGTAAAGCATTGATTGTCATATGGTATTGTTTATAAATGAGACATTTGCTATATGACCTTGAATATTTTTCAATTCAATCAAGCATTGTTGTTATTCAACACATCTGATAGCTGGGATACCTTCCTGACTTTTTAAATTATTTTGTTTCAGATGATCAGCAAGCTGGTGCAACAGGTTACTCACTTTCAATGGGTATTGCTTCGCATGGGAGTGATGGTGATACTGCAATGGAAAATAAGAAAACGATGTCTTATTATCACCTCCTTTCTGAGTGCCATTTAAAAGGTTTGTTTTGATTACTATTTATTGTTTTTAAAGGAACACGTCAAAAGTACCACAACATTTAAAATTACTCATCCAGTTTATGAATACTGGCTATTTTAAAATGGTAAAAAAAATTCTGAAAGTTTTATTTAAGTGGGGTTAAATGCCGATGCAATCATAACTTGAACGATCTAAAGATGTAATTATTGCTGCAGAAGTTCATGCTTACTACCTAACCTAATGACGTGCTGAAACTACTCTGGAAGAAGGAGACAATTCACATTGCCAGAAGGAGCAGTTCCCTTTTGAAAATACGAAATCTGACTATTTGAGTGAAAAGACTGAGTTTGACAAACCCTACAGTTTTGATAAAGCATACAATTTTGACAAACTTATACAATTTTGACAAAGATCCAACCAGGGGAAGCGGAAGAGACGGAGGGAGAGGAATATCCCAACCCGCAAGCCATGTGGTTCATCCAGTACCGCTCAGCACAGGTAAAAGCACTGATTGTCGTATGGTATTGTTCGTACATAAGACATTTGTTTCTGACCTTGTATCATTTTCAATAAATGACATTGTTATTTTTCAACACATCTGATAGCTGGGATAACTTCCTGACAATTTAAACTATTTTGTTTCAGATAAGCAGCAACCTGGTGCAACAGGTTACACACCTCCAGTGGACACTCTTAAGCATAGGAGTGATGGTGACACTGCAATGGAGAATGACAAGGAAGAAGAGATCTGTCTATATCACCTCCTTTCTGAGTGCCAGTTTAAAGGTTTGTTTTGATTACTATTTATTGTTTTTAAAGGGACACATCGAAGTAATACAACATTTAAAATTACTCATCGTCCAATGTATTAATAATATCTATTTTAAAATGGTAAAACATTTTCTCAAAGCTTTATTTAATTGAAAACTAGCTTTACTACCTGGCTTCGCCTGAGACTTTTCTTGTCTTGGATTAATACACGGCCTTGTGTACAGTCTGGAAGCTACCCACATGCCAAATTTCAAATTTGTTGCATGTTGGCAATTATGCTAAACATTTCGAACAGACACACATTCACAAGTTTCCCTTTTATATATATAGATAGTAATAACAATGCATGCAATGAAAGTGTTTTTTTTGTCACCTTCCCACCTGTGATACACAAACTATCCGTTCACCCATGCAGAGCGTTGCCTTAAAAGCCATGCAAAGCTACCATATCGATGGCAGAAGAGGGACAAATTAACACGCATATGGGAAGACATACCCGACATGGAGACGATTGAACAGCGGTACTGTGACCCTACCAATGTCAGGTGATGCTTCATGTACTCGTTGTAAATATGCTGTTGTGAGTGTGATGATTGTACTCTTATATCGCAATGCTTATTGTTGTCCTAAATGTATAAAAGAAAATTAATATCTCCACCTCATGTACTGTGTGGTTTTCTGAAACAGCTGGAATTCTGTTGATTTTGTAAGAATGACTATGAATAACAATGCAGTGCGACGCCTTTCCACGGCAAATGCGGTCACCAAACCGGACAACTTCCTGCTTACCACAAAATGGATATGGTACTGGCAAGAAGATGTGGGGAAATGGATCACATATGGATCACAGGTGTGTAAAGTCACTTGTCTGTGCTACTACACAACATCGAATACATTTAGGACAGTAACCTGCAATTTGGAAAAATAATATGGCAGATCATGAAAGTAGACAATGAGTAAATGTTTGAAGTCACAACAAGCATCAACCAACATTATGTAATGCTTATAACTCAAAATATTAAAGTGGTACAAGGATAAGCAATACACCAAAATTAAGTAAAAATGAATCCCATTTTGCAAGATGCAAAAACGTTTTTGAAAGGGTGTGACCTGACCCGAACTAAGGGCAAATATGTTTAAAGGAGAGAACTAGCAGCTCGGTTGCCTCACTGCCGAGTCACAAACCAAAAGCTAATAAGTGACTATTGGAGTAAACGCAAAGGGAGATGGTAGGAATTGCATCCCATTTATTTTCCAATTGCTGACATGGTTGCTATAGCAAGATGGTCCTGAAGGCACTGATTAAGCCATTTGCTTATGTCAAGTAATTTAAATTGAGATTGTGAGTGGGTGGTAAAAGAAGCAATTAATTGTAGCCTCCGTTTAAAAAATGTTTTATTAGGGCATGTAACAAAAATATTTTCTTCATACATTTGTGTTCATAATAACTATGGTACATTTTAATTGCATTGGCGTTTTAAAGTTTTGTATTTTCTCTATGTGGAGGCCACCACAAATGAAAAGGCTAAATCTGAAGTTTCATCAGGAGATCTGGAGAAGGCCTATGAAAAGGACAAGAAAGAAGGTTTGAGTGTTTTTGCTGGGCCCTTCTTGTACCACGTCAGCTTTAAAGGTTTGTTGATTTTTCAAGCACTATATCACCACAAATGCATTTTAAATGTCAAGCGTCAGGAGAAAGGTACATAAGTACAATAATTATATTTCGCTTCAGATTAAGTACAAATCTTGGATTTGGTTCTAAATTGTATTGAATGACCACAAAATAGGATGTAATAATTTATACAGAAACTTGGAAAACAAGGTTACAAAAAACTGGTCATTGCTTTTTAAGGAAATTTTAAAGTATATTTTGAACCTGCTACTGGCATACACTGTTATTCCTTTAATAATCACGTGACATCCTAATTTTTCTACATGTATAAATCATTCCAGTAGCTGCCTAATATATGATTCATAATAATTTGATTCAGGAAGCTGGCAGACTATATCAAAGAAAATATTATTGTATGCACCAATATGTGCAACAGGTCATGTGGGAATTAACTTTTTTCATTTTTCATAGTGGAAAATAGAAAGCTGTAGTTACTATACCTATAATCACCCAGAAATGTCTGTCTGTCCTGCGCTTGACGTCACTCCACTTGATGTCCCCCCCACCATTAATATTCATGAGTGGGTGGATTTTTTACACTAACGCAGAGGGAGCAAAGTCGATTCAAATACGACGTTTCTTTATAGAAAGTGACGTTGAAAAATAAATCTACTCAGCACAGTGCTACATCCGTGCGTGACGTCACTGCAAAAGAGCCCCCCCTTCGTATTCATGCCCGCGTGGAAATTCACACTTACGCACAAGAAGGTCGCGCACTCCACATGCCACACCCCTCCCCTCATTAATAATCATGAGTGGGTGACGTCACTCCACATGCCACACCCCTCCACAATAACCATGAGGGGTGACGTCACTCCACATGCCGCACCCCTGCCCAATAACCATTAGCGGGTGACGTCACTCAACATAGGGCAACCCCCCTCTTAATAATCATGAGCTGAACAATTTTTCTATTGAATATTTCAGATTTACTGCAATATACACCCGTCCTTAGATGGGCAAAAAAGCTAGTACTATAATGATTTGCCTGGAAAAAATATCATTTAGTTAATATATAAGTTTGTTGTGTGTTTATGTCCCAAGTGGCATGTTAATATATTGCTCCAGCTGTTCTATTTTCAAAAATGATTACGTGAACTGTACCAGTCCCAGCATGTTAACCTTCCTGAATGTTGTTAAACAGTTTGGGTACAAGGGTTAGGAGGTGTTTACATCCAATGTGTTTTACCTTAGTGTTGTTTGTCATGACAGAAATGAATCAGACAAACATGACGTTGGGTACCAGAAGAGATGTGAGGAGGAGGCCTCTCTTTGTGTCAAGACGTGATGTGGAAGCAGCAAGAGATCGGTATACACTTTAAATTCCATTTATATTTTCAAAACAAATACAGCAAGGAAGAGCACCAGGTTATACTGCATCCATATGACCAACATAAACGTATTAAGACAAAAAGGGACCCCTATAGGAAACTATTAAGAAGCAATTGTAAGGAAAGGAAATGGGGATAAATAGAGTAGGAAGAGATAGAAAGAGTAGTACACACTTGAATATTAGAACCTTATGGTGGGACCCCGGGGTCTCATAAGCCTCCAGCTCTTGCATAAACATTAGATTATAATGTAAACAAAAACTTTGTTATTTTTCACCAGCGGGTTTGAAGGATGGTGGCAAGTGTTTGACTTTCATCCCACTGGGATTTTTGCACAGCGTTGGTGTACGGTGCTTTTTTTCTGCAAGACTTTGCAGTTTTTTCCTGGATTTTTCTGTTAAGATGTTTTTTGTTCATGTTTTTGTTTTTTGTTTGTTGCAGTTGCACCCGATTCAAGAGCCGGATGGCTCACAGGGCTATACCAAATAAATGAAAACTGAAACTAAAAACTGAAGTGTTGTCTTGTTAAACTATGCCTTTAAAACTGAAAACTACTTACCTGCAGTACCTCTCTTTAAATACACTATTGAAAGCATAATTTGCACCCCTCTGTCAATCATCGTGTTTCTCAGTGTGGATTTGTGAACACACTTTGTAAACAGTACGTAAAATAGTATGCGTTTTCAATGCGCTGATCATATTGTAACATTCGTATATACCAATGTTACTCGACAGAATAGTGGGTCGCCGCTCCTCTTATCCGCATTGATACGAGCGGTATGTGGGGAATATGGCTTAACCGCAAAAAGAAACCTATCAGCACAGATGCATATGGACAAGAGAAATATCAAACAGGAGGAATTAATGGTGCGACGCATGTAATCTGTTAAATATCTGCAGGTAATAGGATTGTCATTGATTGATCCTGGCTGCAGACATTCGTAGGTCACAAATAATAATGAAGATAAGAGCAGTTTCACTGTATTATGCATACCGTTATGACAAATAAAGGACTTAAGTCTTGTAGGCAGTTTGAGCAGCTTTAGATAAGACTTATGATCCTGCCCAACTCTTCTGCGCATTTGTCCTCGCTGCGCTTGGACGACATGACAACAGAATGATCCGCGCCAGGTGGGTCGCCGCGTTTATGTGCCAAATTGTATTAATTAATTACGATTTTGACTTCCATTTATGCTCTTTGCTGTTCTGCGCCCAATTTTTCTCGATCAGGTATAAACATCTGCGCAGTGTTGGGGTGGACAATATTCCCACCCACTGGGACAGCGCTTCTCTCTCCGAAATCAGCACATCGGTAATGTGTGGCTTTTGGACTGAAAAACACTACTACATTATTCCCCAGATTTTAAGATCCGCTCCGATTAGCATGGTTGGCTTCGTACGGTGCGAAAGAAGTTCTGCATACGTACATGTTATCCAAATTTGTTCATATCCACATACCATATCATAAAATACACCTATAACCTTTCCTTTAATATACAGGGGAAAAGAGCATGTCATAATCTGTATATGGTAATTTTTATGCCAAGCAGTGTACAATGTAAAAAATAATTTTTCAATGCTCTGTAAGTGCTATACCTACTATAATCTCCCAGGAATATCTGTCCTTAATGCTCGTGACGTCACTCCACATCGACCAGCCCCCCTAATTAATATTAATGAGCAGGTGACAGCCTCCAAATGGACACCCCCCCACCCCTCATTAATAATCATGAGCAGTTGACATCACTCAATGTGGAGTACTCCCCCCCCCCTCACTAATAATCATGCGCAAGTGACGTCACTTCACACCGAACAGCCCCCCTCATTAATAATCATGAGCAGGTGACGTCCTCCAAATGGACACCCCCCCATTATTATTACCTACTATAATGAGCCAAGAATGTCTGTGTGCAACGCGCGTGACGTCACTCCACATCGACCAGCCCCCCTCATTAATAATCATGAACAGGTTACGTCCTCCACATGGACCTCCCCCCCCCTCATTAATAATCATGAGCGAGTGACGTCACTCCACATGGAGCACCCTCCCCCCTTATTAATCAAAATGAGCAGGTGACGTCACTCCACATCGAACAGCCCCCCTCATTAATAACCATTATAAGGTGACGTCCTCCAAATGGACACCCCCCCATTCATAATAATTAGCGGCTGACGTCACTCCACATGGGGGGGCGAGGCGCCTCCTCCCCCCTCCTCGGCGTCAACTTACAACCCTCACTACAAAGGCAGAACCTTCACGTCACGCGATCTCCATAACTCTATTGAGACATCGAAGTAAAAAGGACGTCATGATGAACAAGGGATTATAACCTTAAAATTAAATAGGTCTGTGTCACCGCGCCTTTACAAATTGCGCACGCATTAATGCAATGAGCATCACGTCGCGGTCTGGTTTTCGCTTGCAAGTTTTAGATTTACTGCAATACACCCATCCTTGGTTGGGCAAAAGGCTAGTTATGATATACTTTAATTGTTCATCTGAATGTTTTGCTCATTTGAAGGAAAGATATGAATAAATTCACATAATGGCCCACCATATAAATTGAGTTCTCACAACAGTTACACTGGGGGTCCTGATTGTAGACGTTAAGATATGTTCCTCAAAATCTAAACTCGTTCCATGCTCTGGCCCACACCAGTAATCCCTATTCAAACACATAAGTAGGTTCTGCTCTGCACATGCACCACAGCTTCTCTTGTTGCGTCTGCCCGCCCCGACTTTAGTATTTACATTTTCTGGGACCCATTACTCAGACATTTCTGTAGCTCCTTCAGATAAATTTATGATTAATCTTCGCTGGTAGGCCTCACAATTTTAATGTGCCATGTTGGCCAACGTTTGGCATGTTTTCCTTCTTTACGTGCTTGGGCCAGCATAAGATACTGGCTCAGCAGGGCTTGTGGTTCTGGAGGCCTTCACATGAGCACTGATTTGCTGTGACAAGAGCATGGCAGTGGTGATGCTCAGGCATCATGGTTTGCCTTGGCACGGCCTTTTAGAGAGGGAGTTATGTGAGCTTCTGATGTGAGCAGAGGAGAATCAGGTCTTCCTCACAGCCAAGCATCTCGTTAGGATCCAGAATACCACACTTGGACCTAGGGAATTGTATTTCCATGCAGATGTGTTTGTCAGCCTGATGAAAAATATTTTAAAGAGAACGGGTTCAAATGTTGAGGACCATATCAATGGCTGCTTCAGGAAACCAAGCATAACTTTTGTGATGAAGGCTTCGTCTTGATTCTATAACGGTTTTAATAATTTAATTACAAACGGGTATCACTGAGATTTCATGGGAAGACTTCCTTCGATTTAGTGCATTATTATTTTCAGATGTATTTTCATAAAGTTAAATGAAAGTACTAACGTGGTATTTTGTTCACTTGCTTGGATGATAAAGAATATATGTACTGTAATTCATTCTCATTCCACTGCTTTCCAATGGGAACTGCTGTCTCAAATGTTGTGAAAAGTGAATCTGCTGTGTAGACGTATGTCGACAGTATATGTTTAATGGAAGTCCAGTCACTCGTGTTAATAACATAGAGTGTAACACGAGGAGTTTGTAAATATATTCTTATATCCAAAAGTATTTTTGTATCTTATGCTGTTTGTATGTTTTGCTTTTTTGTAGCTTGTTAATGTTGGAAAGTTGTCATCAGAGTACAAGGAGGTGGAATCCTTGTTTAGAAAAACAGTCAACCAGTCTTTTGCTATCATCAGCATAAAAAGAGTTCAGAACTTGGAGCTGTGGGATGCTTTCCAGAGGTACGTTGTTGAAGGCTTTCAGTATTTAAAAAAGCAAAATAACTAAAAGACCAGCGTGCAACCAAAAATAGAAACATCTAAAACTTCTAAATGCATGCTTGTTGACATATAGACATCTTAGTATGTTAATGAATATAATTGAAAACGAATTTAGTATGATTTTGGCCTATCAGGAAGCGAGAGTGGATGCGGAAGAAAAATGGCGGGATTGAGATAGAGGAGCGCAAGCTCTTCCATGGCACAAGCCCTGACATGGTGACAGCCATCTGCCAGCAAAATTTTGACTGGCGATTGTGTGGCACCCATGGCACATCCTACGGCAAAGGTATTACTTCAGTCTGCAAATTTGACTCTTTGCTTTTTTTAATATCACATATGTAATAAAAAACTAACCCATGCCAACATTCTCCATTGGGTTTTTTTTCTTGTTACAGGAAGTTATTTTGCACGTGATGCTTCTTATTCTCATTGCTATGCTGTTGCAAGCATCAAGAAAGCACAGCCACCAGTAAACGTACAGGTACCGATTCAGACAAAGAAAGAGCCAGAAAAGAGTTTTCTTTCTACCATTTTGAAAGTATTCGGGATTTCCACTTCAGATGACTCGGCAGCAAGCCCCTTAGTAAGCGTTCCAGTAACAACTAGCATGCCTGTAAAAACGGTGATGTTTCTCGCACGAGTGCTGGTGGGCCGCTACACTCAAGGCGATCCCAGCTACCAGAGGCCTCCTGAGCTTAAAACGTCCGTTTCAACATACGTCGGATCATCGGTGTCTTCGTCGTTAGGTCTCTACGACAGCTGTGTAGACACCGAGGTGAATCCCAAGATCTTTGTGGTGTTTGAGAAAGATCAGGTGTATCCGGAATATGTCATTGAATACACGTCCTAGATTCAAGAAAAGGCTGCTTTTCTTGAATCTGTCCAGCAAGAGGCACCTTTTGGAGTGAGTTGAGTAAAATGTGGTTTTGTCCATAATTGAGCATTTTATCATTTCAGTTTATCTAAGTACTAAAATGGAAACGTTTCTGATACTTTATTTTATTAATATTTTATTTAAAAAGTCAGTTAAGATAACTTCCATATGTAGTTTGAGTATTGATCAAATTTTCATCCTGTATTAGCAGCCTTGATAATCATGTTTTTATAACTCAGTTATTAATGATGCTCTTGCTCAACTTAGTGACATTTTTTATACCAAATTCACCTGTTAAATATTTTAGTTGCCACACAGGTGAGTGTGCAACAGCTAAATTATTATGCTTACTTAAATGTAATCACATATTACCATTATTATGGAATACTTTCGCTCGTTAAACAAAACATTAAGGCATGTTTATTTTATGAGGTGAGTGTTTATCATATACGTTTTTTGAATGCTTAAAATTATCTGGCCATTCAAATAATATTACAAGAGCCAATACAATAATTGTTTTCTTGATTAAACACATTTTTGGGATGCATGTCAACACTAGCAGTATCTATTGTACTCTAGACTGTAGGAGTTAAATTACCTTCATGCTCTATAAAATCACCATTGTATGTCTTTATAACAGACCTCAACCTATATTTAAAAGCTTTGAACTGCTTTTAGTGGTAAAGATCCAAGGGCAATATGAAGTCAAACTAAATATTTCGCTCATGTAATTCAGGCCTGACCAGGACTAAATTATCCTTATGGCGGTACCCCGGGGTACCGAATGATATAAAATGGCCGAGGCAATTAAATATTTTATTTTTGGGACACTTTTTTCCAGGGGTGTAATTTAACTCCGCGACAGGGGTAATAATCAATCCGAAATCAGTGCTACTCCGCGATGTCGAAACGCCAAACAGCATACAAAATCCGTTATCGAAAAATTCAACTTTGAATAGTGCATCGTGTACAGCTCGTCGAGATGAGTCGATTGCCACATTATGCGAGAGCCGGGGTACTATGGTACCCCGGAGTACCGCCATAAGGTTCAAATGTTAAAGTTTATACTGTGGTTTTTGTGGAGCTGCCCAATAATTTTGAAATAAAGTGAAACATTGAAATCAATAAACATCAATGTGAGCTGACCACAACTCGGATAGAAAGTGAACGTGCAGTGGTATTGGTGTATACAATATTGAATAGGAAGGATTTTCATTTATTCAGTGCTTAAATGCCATATAATATCAAAGAATGTTGCTTTAAAAACTTCCATGGGAGAATAGAATATCGAGGCAAAAAGGGAAAAGAGGAATGGGAAAAGAGAAAAAAAACTTCAAGAACATCACAAATGAAGGGATACACGATTACCTGTACAGACACACTGGGTCACAACAGTCAACATAAACCTGAGCATCAGGAGACGACCGTACAAAATAGCCAGTCCACCAGCCAGTAACCTAATCGGCACCATCCATCCTTGCCGAACCCAGGACGAATCCCACAGCTCCCAAAAAAAGCCAGAAACCCCTCCCAAGACAATTATGACAGGCCCCTTTTTCTGTTTACGTGTTGAGCTTTTAAAAATATATTGTTTTAAGCTAATCTTTTGCACAATTGTGGGAATAATCTTTTGTCAATCTGCTGCTGAATGAAGGCCTCGCCATACGGTGTCATTCATGGGGAGGCCTTCATCTGGCAGTGGATTCACAAAGGGTGTTTATGATGACTACATTTTACGTACATTGCACGGATTTTATGTATTATTTAGCATTATTTAAGAAATATATTTTTGTCATGAGATTTTTGCAAACTTGGAATTGTCATGTTAACCTTCTCAATGAATGTTGCTACAATTGTAAATTAAAGGTAATGTGGAACAAAAAATAAACCCATACATTTTGGGAATCTGTTCGTATTTGCATAAGGGAATACAGTTTGACCAAAATACAGATACAATGGTTTACTTGCCTGTGTATTTTTTGTGATTCTTTTGAGTGTTATCTTGCTAGTTATGACATTTATAGGAATGCAATACATGTAGGGGGTGTGGGTTGCAGGCATATACAGTGAGGGAAAAAAGTATTTGATCCCCTGCTGATGTTGCACGTTTGCCTGTATAAAAGACACCTGGGAGCCAGAAATCTTTCTAATTGAGAGGGGGTCAAATACTTATTTCCCTCATTAAAATGCAAATCAATTTATAACATTTTTGACATGCGTTTTTCTGGATTTGTTGTTATTCTGTCTCTCACTGTTCAAATAAACCTACCATTAAAATTATAGACTAATCATTTCTTTGCCAGTGGGCAAACGTACAAAATCAGAAGGGGATCAAATACTTTTTTCCCTCACTGTAATCTTAACCCACGAAAATCTAGAGACCCAGTGGGCTCACGGAAGTATTTACCCTTAGCTCAATTCAAAGAGAACCCTTTGAATTGAGCTAAGGGTAAATTCAAAGATAACTCTTTGAATTGAGCTAATTTATGTAGACTAAAGCCTTCGCCACTCATTTACAATTGAGCTGCAAGATTTCCATAGGAATTCTTACAATGTGAGTTTTTTTTCTTGTCGCGTTGCATATTTTAGAACATGTGTAGTGTCGCCCCAGATATTGATGAGTCAATCTTGTGGCAACCACACAGCCCTCTGACTCAGAATCGCCTTTGCAGTTTTAAATACTGGATGTGTTACAAGTTAAACAGCACGATAACACAACACGGATTTGTAGTATCTGACTCCGGCACACTACCCGAATCAAGCACACACAGAGCTATCTCTGGGTATTATTAATTACACTGTTTTGGCTCTGATCGTATAAGCCAGATGATTCTTTCGCACTCTGTTGCACATAGCAAAGCCAGTCTGCTCTTCAGCTGTTTTCTAACCCCCACTCCTCAATGGCCCTGCACATGTCCTTATATGTGCTCTCATGGGCTCGATTGCATACCTGTCAACCCCTTATCAGTGCCTACCTTATTACAGACCAATTCAGACCTTATTGGTCACCCCGTGCCCCTTATAAATCTCATTGTTTATCCTGCAAAGTCCCATCACAAGGGAGAAGCACAAATAGACATTTTAAAAAAAATTGCCCGTATTTAAAATGCTGTACGCCGCATGCGCCTGAAAACTCAATTTCCCTGTACAAGACTGCAGGTGGACGTATGGGTTGACAGGTATGCGATTACAGTTTTACTTTAAACTTTAGTGACTGCAGGAAAACATTCTTTGGTTCTTTCGGTAAAGTCACGTAGATAGAAAAATAAAAAAATAAAGTGAATAAAGATAATAAACAAAAAACCCACTAATGTGACTGTAGCCTGGTTCTTAATCGGAGTAAGTGTACTGGCAGTCTATAATGTAGCTTGTAGTAATGGTTATTAACCTGAGTGTACTGGCAGTCTATAATGTAGACTGTAGTAATGGTTATTAAACTGAGTGAACATGCTGGCAGTCTATAATGTAGACTGTAGCCTGGTTATTAAGCTGAGTGTACTGACAGTCTATAATGTAGACTGTAGCCTGGTTATTAAGCTGGGTGAGTGTACTGGCAGTCTATAATGTAGACTGTAGCCTGGTTATTAAGCTGGGTGAGTGTACTGGCAGTCTATAATGTAGACTGTAGCCTGGTTATTAAGCTGGGTGAGTGTACTGGCAGTCTATAATGTAGACTGTAGCCTGGTTATTAAGCTTGGTGAGCGTATTGGCAGTCGATAATGTAGACTGTAGCAATGGTTATTAAACTGAGTGAGTGTACTGACAGTCTATAATGTAGACTGTAGCAATGGTTATTAAACTGAGTGAGCGTACTGGCAGCCTATAATGTAGACTTATTCTTTGGTTCTTTCGGTAATAAACAAAAACCACGACGTTTCGATCGCTTGTGTTGTGATTGAAACGTCATGGTTTTTGTTATTTTTTTATTATGGCCACCAAAATATTGTTTGCAACAGTGATGCGCACCACACAAAGTCAATCTGCGACCCACAGACATGGAACTGCATCACAGCACACTTAACAGGGAAATAAAAAAAACCCCTACACATTCGTCAATAGCACGGCCTTGGAATAAAAACATAACACTGACGCACACGAAGATGATAATAAAGACAATTGATAATGCACAACTACATTGCACAATTCCGGCCGGCCTGCCTTCAATAATGCTCTGCATTCTACACTGCACATTCGTCTTGTTATTTTTTGTTGTACAAAACATCACTTTGTTTTGCTAATATTCATCTTTTGCATATGGCCCTGCATCTAACAACGAGGATTAAAAGCAAAAACACCTTGGGATGATAACCCCCAACCAGAGCCGGTAAACGTCCCAGTAACGTTGCGCCAACGTTCCACGTTAACTGGGTACATGTATAAAAATAATATGCAAATTATTAATTAGCGGCCTCGTACAAAATTATTTTGAGGCGTTCTAATTTTGACAGCAATTACAACTGTCACGATTAATTGACGCATCTTTAAATCGTAGCTCGTCCCAATTAAATACCGCCCATTCGACAACACCGTGGCCTTAAAATAAACATTATTGTAATATCTCGATTTGAAGCTTTGGTGACTGCAGGAATCCAAACTCTTTGCTTCTTTCGTTAAAGTCACGTAAGGTATAAAACATAATGTCACGACGTTTCGATCACAACACAAGCGGCCGTCCTCAGGCGGACAAAATAATCCGGCAGTGGAACTGTTATTGTTTTTTTTTATACCTACGTGACTTTACCGAAAGAACCAAAGAGTATTATTGTAATTATAATTAATTACATTTATATCGCGCTTTTCATCAAGGGTCTCAAAGCGCTGTACAGGAGGTACATGAAGATGGGCCATTGCCTGAAACGTCGTCTATTACACATAAAAAAACTATTTATGAAGGACGTGTTGAGTTATGTTAATTATGTTTTGTGCACGACTGCCAACACAGCGGCACCAACATCACCAGCAGGTGATTTACTGAGGGGGGGGGGGGGTCTCTTCCTTCCGTAAGATGCCCGCTAAATATCCATTAACACATTCTCCTGCGGAGGGAGCTGGTAGGGACGTTGGGTTGCTCGGTCAGTGACCAGGGTCATCGGCGGCACCACGTGGTGGTGTGTCCCGCACAATATGCCCGACTGTGAGGGCGGGCACAAGCCGGCGTGAGTAGGTTAAACGTTGAGTTTTATAAGGGCACCACGGGGTGACCAGCCCCTCCCCACCCAGCCCCACCCCTCCCACCCCCCACCCAGCTCCTCCCTCCCCACCCAGCCTCTCCCCACCCAGCCCACCCCTCCCACCCCCTGCCCAGCTCCTCCCTCCCCACCCAGCCCCTGCCCACCCTCCCCTCTCCACCCAGCCCCACCCCTCCCATTTTATCCGGGTGTCCGGATACACGTGCACAGACATCCACAGACATACACAATTAATCCCCTGCCTCCTGTGAGAATTAATCCCGGTTGGGTTTCCAGTCCATATAAGGGCACCACGGGGTGACCAGCCCCTCCCCACCCCACCCAGCCCCACCCCTCCCACCCCCCACGCAGCCCCACCCTCCCCACCCAGCCCCTCCCCACCCTCCCCTCCCCATCCAGCCCCTCTCCACCCAGCCCCACCCTTTCCACGTGGACAGACATCCACAGACATACACAATTAATCCCCTGCCTCCTGTGAATTAATCCCGGTTGGGCTTCCAGTCCACTACGTTTCCTACCAGTACAATTTGTACGAATAGACCTTGTTTATTTATTGGTCGCTCGCTTACCTTTCCAATATGGTACTTTGCACTTCCATCGGGTTTCGTATTGTTTGCTGGTGTTACTTTTCTGACCAGCCCGGACTGGACATTTGTTAAAGAGCTTCGGAGCTCATCGGATTCCTCCAGCGGAGAGATATTTTTTTTTTTAAAAATGCTACTTCCCTACGCAATATGGCCGCCTAATATCAATTACAAATAGTATTTAGTGAGTCGATTACATTTCCTAATACAGTACTTTGCACTCCCGCCAGTTTTCACGTATTGCGTGCTGTTGTAACTTTCTTACCAGCCCCCTACTTGACGTGTGTGAAACGAAAAAAAGAGCTTTGTAGCTCATCGGATTCATCCAGCGTAGAGGGAGAAAAATCGACTTCCCTACGTAAAATGGCCGCATTATTCCCATTACAATAATATGTAGAGTGACTCGATTACATTTCGTAAACAGTACTTTGCACCCCCATCAGTTTTTACGTACTGCTTGCTGTTGTGACTTGCTGAGCAGCCCCTTACTGGACGTTTGTAAAATAAACAAAAAAAAGAGCTTTGTAGCTCATCGCATTCCTCTAGCGTAGAAAGAGATTGAAACTTTTACTTCCCTACGTAAGATGGCCGCCAGACACCCCTTCGCGTGACGTCACGAGGAGCACGTGTCACGACGCCGCGTAGTCCCAAGTAGTCGCAGCAGCAGCAGCCAAGCACGTGCGCGCGTGCTACCTCCTCGTGTACCGCGTCGGCCTTCGTGGGTGCTTCTCGCCGACAGCACTCGCCCCCCTACAGTCTGGTAAGGCTACACGGGGGATCTTTGTCTTGTGCTAGTCCCGCGTGTACCCTGCCGGCCTTCGTGGGTGCTTCTCGCCGACAGCACTCGCCCCTACAGTCTGGTAAGGCTACACGGGGGATCTTTGTCTTGTGCTAGTCCCGCGTGTACCCTGCCGGCCTTCGTGGGTGCCACTCGCTGACAGCACTCGCCCCTACAGTCTGGTTAAGGCTACACGGGGGATCTTTGTCTTGTGCTAGTCCCGCGTGTACCCTGCCGGCCTTCGTGGGTGCCACTCGCTGACAGCACTCGCCCCTACAGTCTGGTTAAGGCTACACGGGGGATCTTTGTCTTGTGCTAGTCCCGCGTGTACCCTGCCGGCCTTCGTAGGCGTCACTCGCAGACAGCACTCGCCCCTACAGTCTGGTAAGACTACACGGGGGATCTTTGTCTTTATCCTGCAGCGCGACCATGGCCGAGCCCGCGAAGCCCGCGTCCACAACCACGACGACGACCAACAACGCGTGGAACATCCCCCCCAACGCCCCGGCATGCATGGAGAGAAGTCTGGACGCGCTGCAGTACAGGAAAGGTACAGCGGCGCTACTTCGTAGTACTACTGTGCAATACGTGCTTGTGTTGTGTGTGTGCGTTGTCTCGTTGTGCCAGGGAGCCGGCAGTGTCGCGGTTAGCGCTAAGCTGGGCTACGAACTCGGCATGAGCAGAGTTCAATTCCCGCTCACGGCCACCAACGTCGGCGGCGATTATCCGGACCGGTCCAGGGCCTCTCCCTAGGTCGTCTCGGCCTTTTAAAAATGAGTATCCTGATGCGGTGTGTAAAAACATCGCCGCTGGGGAGACAAAGGCGGCCGAGCGTGGTTGCTGGCCACCCCCCCTTCGTGTGCCACAGTGCCTGCCTTAGTAGTTGCTGCTCGCTGACAGCACTTGCCACCAAGAGTGTGTAAGGCTATACGGGGGTGGGGATCTTTTGTCTTTGTGTGGTGGATGAAGGCGGCCTCCCCAAGTTGCTGCTGCTGCTGCCGCCGCCTCCTCTCAAGATCTCTGCCATATAAGATGGTCCGGTCCAACTAGCACAGGGGGGTCGACTACCAAAATAACAAGAAGAGCCATTTGTGTTTAATTCGGTAAAAATACAAACTTACTCAATATTTCACAAGGCTGGCAGCGTCGGGTTTTTTCATGGTTTTAATAAAAAAAAACGATCATCTCAGATGGCCAAAAATCTGGGTTTATTGCCTGTTAATCCCTATAATTATAGCCCCCCACCAAAGAGAAGACAAGCAACACGTTCCGCTACAAGATGATGATGGTCAAAGGTCGCAAGACGCCTATGGAGCATTGGCTGTCCGATGGCAGTGACACGACCAGTGTCGCATCCGAGAGGAACTTCTTCTCCACCGCGGCCTTCGCTCATTCCCCAAGCCTGAGCGTGAAGTCGGTGGAGAATCTCGTCTTCTTCATCAAGAGCAACATTCACACGCCTTCTTCGACGGCGCGGTATGAGATGATCGAAGAGGAGAGCGAATACGATGACTCTGGCGCCGATTGGCGACAACTTGGATTTCGACAAAGTCTGTTTTTTTAATAATAACCAAGAACCCGATCAAATTTGCACAAAAAAAATCGGGTTTTTTTTTCCCACCCTTGATGTTTCAAGAGCCGCAATGCATTTGCATTCCGGTCAACCCCTTATCAGTGCCTACCTTATTAGAGACCAATTCAGATACCTTATTGGTCACCCCGTGCCCCTTATACATCTCAACTTCATCCTACAAAGTCACCATCACAAGGGAGAAACACAAATAGACATAAGTTTAGTTTTTTGCCCGTATTGAAACGGCTGTACGCCGCATGGACCTGAAAACTCAATTTCCCTGTACAAGAATACCCGGTAAACCGTATGGGTTGACCGATGCATTTGAATACGTCCTTAGTAAATAAACTCCACGAAGCAGTCCTTGGAAGAGCTGCATGTGGCTCCGGAGCTGATAGTTGCAGACCCCTGGACCTGCACCAGCACATGACGTTAAGTACTTTTAGGCACTATCAGCTATCAACATTACGACAAAAAGAGAAATATATGGGAGTGTAGTCTGTTACCACGCATATTTATAATAATCAGTGACCCAAGAATGTCTGTGTGTCCCGTGCGTGACGTCACTCCACATGCCGCACCCCCCGTCATTAATATTCATGAGCGGGTTGATTTTTACATTCGCGCAGAAGAAGGTCGCAAATTCGCTTCAAGTTTGACGTTTCTTTATTGAAAGTTAATCTAAAAAATAGTTCTACGCAGCAACAAAGTGGATTTGTTGCCTTTATTTCTTCAGCGCTTGAGACAAAAGGTAAGTCTAATTTATGCTTCTACATTATGGCAAAATAGACATTTCTCGGTGATTTTCCAGATATTTGATAGCATTCCAATTTATTTCAACCCCAGCGACCGAAAGCAGAAGACAATAAAGTACCAGAGCAGTGAATTTGAACAAATTGAAGGACATTTATATACAGTGCTACAGTGACATGAAGTGAGGTGTTTTATGACATAGCTTTGTGCAAGAATCACTGCCATTAATACAGTGCTACAGTGAACTGCAGTGAAGTTTTTGATGACATACTTTTGTGCAAGATTCGCTGCCGTTCAATTTACACGACACAATTATACTCTGCTCAATTTTTGCATAAATATTACATCTTCCGTCCTAGGACAGGCAAACAAGCTAGTTTATGATAATCAATGACCCTCATATTCGGTGCGTATGGGCGGATATGAGGATCATTGTAAGGCAGCGATGAGCGCGCACTGGTGAAGATTATTTGAACCGGTACTGGTCCTCGCTTAGGTCGACTCGGCCTCAAATGCGTACCCGGTGCGGTGCGTAAACATCACCAATTAGGGAGACAAAGGCTGCCGGGCCTGGTGCGGACCACCCACCTCTTCGTGCGCTGTGCTGACCTTTTATAGGTGCTCGCGAACAGCATTTGCGAGAGCGGCCTGTAAGGTTACAAGGAGGGCTATTTGATATCTTTGAATTTCTATGGGTTCCAATGAACCCGGATAGTGGAGCAGGTTTGGATTGCATGCTCAATTTAATTGTTATCTCGTCCTGGCTCTGACATCATCTCGGCCGCCTCAGCCTAACATTAATATTGAAACAAATGCCATTGGGCGTGCGTGCTGGTTTCTCCATCACCACCTGAAACGATCCTTGTGATAACCAACATTGCCCGTTATTTATCTGTTTAAGGGAGCCAATTGGCTACTTAATGTATTGCTCTGCCCTAAACATTGTCGTCTATCCAATGGCACTCCCAACATCGTTCTTACATGAACTGTGACTGCAAAACTACTAAACCAGTCACTCAAAACATACCGCGCAGGTTAGCAATGCTCAGATATGTGTAATTTTTGGTCGCGACTGGCAAATAAATATTTAAAAATGTAACAATGAAGTAAACGAACTGTGCAATTAGGTTTTGATTTAAAGCTTTCGTGACTGCAGGGATTCAATAAAATATTTTTATTATTTTATTGTTTCCCTTCTACGTGACTTTACCGAAAGAACCAAGAATATGTGCAATTAGGGTTGATTAAATTCCCTTGGGTTTGGGTATTTAGAACGTGTGCGCCTAATGTTGCGTTTTCATGGCCACGAAGACCTCGCAACCCGAGTCCCACCGGTCTGTTTAGTGCAAGGGCCCAGCACAGTTTGTCTTTTTCATCCCACTGGTTCAAGAGCCGCAAGCAGCTCCATCCATGCCCTTAAGCCCCCCTCCCTCCTCGTACTTGCACCCCCTTTGCCCCCTCCACTTGCCTCCACAGCCAAATGGCAGCTCTAGCCATTTTTTTGTAACGATGACTAACGAATGCATTTGTCGCCTCATGCCATCGAAAGATGACATCTATTTTTGTAATTTCCCTCCTTGTTTTACAAAAAACATGACTCGAAAATTGACCTTAGGGATGCCATTGACCACCTGTCGCTCCAAATTAGATTCCATGATATCACAGCTGGTTCGATGGCAGCCCAGATAAAAGTGCGTTGCTTCCTTCGGAAAAAGAGTTATGTGTCTCACTAAAAGTGGTCACTTGTGGCTGCATGGGCCATGTGACCCCATTACAAACAACACACAGGAAGTTAAATAATTCTCACACGTGTGACTTAGGTGGCATGAGCATAAAATTATATTATGGTTAAGTTTTAAATGGCATAATAATCAGCCATATTCTATTCCCTGCTGGATGAAGGACTTCCATGAGCCATCGGAATCAGAAGTTTATTTCCCAAGTAAAGCCCCTTTGTGCTTAAAAGCTTTTTTTTCAAGGGCAAGTCGGCCAGCAGGCAACATCAAAGCATTCCACAATTATAGATTTGAAGCTTTCGTGACTGCAAGGATCCATACTCTTTGGTTCTATTCGGTAAAGTCACGTAGGTAAAAAATAAAACAACAAAAACCACGACGTTTCGGCCACAACACAAGTGGCCTTCATCAGGTGAAGGGACCATGCTGTCATAAAGACAGCGTGCTGCAAGTCACTAATAGTGCATCCAATGCGTTGCCAACTGTCTTCGTGACAGCACGGTCCCTTCACCTGATGAAGGCCACTTGTGTTGTGGCCGAAACGTCGTGTGTTTTTTTTATTTTTTGCCTACGTGACTTTACCGAATAAAACCAAAGAGTATGCATTCCACAATTGCAGGTTTAACAAAAACAAACACTTAATAATAGCAATTATATTGTACAATTGCACGCAGCAATCCATCTACCTCCTGTACACGAGCTATCATCACTATCTTTGCGGTGGGCATTCTCTTGGGCATCATCGTCCTTTGACTGCCATTCTTGTCAATCTCAAACCATCAGCTATCATCCCTTCTGGAAATGTGTCCTGCCCACACCTACTTGCTTAACATTCATTTCCAATGTCTTTAATTTAGAAATTTTACAAAAAAAATCTCTTTCTGCCACTATAATTTCAAGGATATTCCTCTGCACGCTTCCTCATGCACTTGTCAGCTTTTTGTTCCATTGTCTTTGTCAATGTTTCCCATCCACGTCATAGCAGACAATAAAAACTGACTGAAAACCTTGTTATTTAGGAAAATTTGGAAATTGCATTTCATTATTAACATTTATTTTATAAAAACCAATACAGTCTGTCCTCACTAATTTATTAATCATTTTGATCGTGGTCCAATAATTGCTCAAGGTATACATAACTATGATATGTTTTAATAGTTGTTTCCCGTGAACAGATATTTTAAATTGTAAAGCCAATTGGTTTTGAATGAGATTTTTTTACTCGTATATATCATGAACCCAAATCATGGCATCATGTTGGGTCGTAATTTTTTAAATAATAACTATATAATCGAATTGCTTGGGTCAAACTAAGCATATGGACTGACAGGAATTGTTATTTAACAAACACTCTTCAGTATCCGGAACATTCGCAACGTTTTTGCTGTGCATGTGTTCGTGCCAGTCCGATTGTGTCAACATCGTGATATTCCACTGTCTTACCTATTAGAACATCATCTAAACCTGGCTGTGTTGTTTGTGCCAATG